GTGGAAAAAATTGAACATAGGCAGGAAATCTGACAGCAGACTTACATTTTAGGAGAGAATGCCCTATGTGGTAGAAAAGCAAAGTTATGAGGAAATAGATCCAGTTATGATTACTTGTGACAGCTCATTTTTATTACTTCCTCCTTTGCCATTAGGAAATTCTTTGCTTATGGAATCAGCTAAAGTCAGAAATATTTTGGGTAAGTGGATTTTGAGTGCAAAAATCCAGAATAACTATTATTGGTAGCAAAAAGATCCTGAAAGCTGCCATCTCCTGACCATCCAGACTATTTGCAGTATTTGGTCTCTCTAGACTAGCATTTTTCAGCTTTGGCTACATTAAGAAGTGTGGACTTCAACTCCCAGAATTCCCAAAGCAAGTAAGAAGACCATATAACTTAAATCAGGCATGCTGGCTGAGGAATTCTGGGAGTTGAAGTCCACAAGTCATAAAAGGGCCAAGTTTGAAGACCCCTGACTTAAATGGTCAAGGTTGAAAAATATGGATCTACTCTATACTAAACATGATGGTGTTTTATAACATTTTGTGACCGTCATTTACTTTGCTTTTGATCACTATGTTTGCTTAATGGTTGCCACAAAAAGAGTTGCAGAATCGGGTTGTGCTGACCCGCTTTATGATTGTCACAATTTATGACTGTATGTGCCAGGCTCAATTACGGTAATAAGTCAAGGATTACCAGTACGCAAGACCTGTTCACCTAGCCAAAAGGGCTGAAACATTTTTTAATGTCCAGAGCAAAGACAGGCATCTCCCTAATCTGCAGAAGTATAAGGAGAGGGAGGTGCAGTCCAATCAGGCTTTCAAAATTTCGTTATTAGAGCCACTCTCAATAAACGAGATAACAATTAACAATTGTTAATAACAATTAACCAGTGTCACAACTTGCCTCCAGAAGTTGCGAATGTCCCAACACTGGAAGTTTTTAAGAAGAGATTGAACAGCTTTTTGTCTGAAATGGTATAGGCTTCCTGCCTGAGCAGGGGGCTGGACTAGAAGACCTCCAAGGTCCCTTCCAACGCTTCTATTTCTATTCCTAATTCTATTCTGTTCTATTATTTGTTGTTTTTGCTTCCCTGCACAGTTGATTCCTTGTTTTACCTGTTGGAATTGACAGTTTCTTCCTGGAGACAAATGCTCAAGACTGCAACTGTGAGATACAGTACACAATCTTTTATTTGTTGGGTGTGACTTCAGAGGGATTTATTTCCAAGTCAGCAGAGCCAGAATTCTGCTTTGCTCCACAGATAATTGGCCCTTATTCTTATCTGAAACGTTCAGCTTTCTGGCTTGTTTAGAAGTACGCCAGGCTGCCTTGCCATCCTCGATTAAATGCATTTGGGCAAAGGGGGCTGAACAGCTTACACGTGAACTTTTCTCCAGCTTCAGGAGCTTTCAGAAGGGAAAGATCTGCTGGGGGGGGGAGGGTCGCATAAAGGTATAGTCCGAAGTCCACTGTTGTCCGATTCTCCAACAATGCCTCAACCCCAGGATTGCGCAACTCATTCAGCTGCAGGGGAAACCCCAAGCAAAGCCCTCCAAACGAAAATCCCAGCGAAGCTCCGCAGAGGGAATATGTCGTGTGAACGCGGCCCCGTATTAGAAAGCGTGCAAAGACGGGGGGGGGGAAATGCGCTCCTCCCCTCCCTCCCTGATCCCCCGCTCCTGCCCCCCGCACCTGTTGTCTCCTTGTACCCAGGAGGGAAAAGCAGCTGCCAGTAACGTCGGAACGCCCCGTCCAGCACTTCGCAGCCGGGCTCCGCCGCCGAGTGGTTGGCATGGGCGAATCGGAACTGGCGGGAGCTGAGCCGGCAGCGGATCTGGGGGTCCTGGCGGATCCCCTGCGGCTGCGGCCACACGGCAGCGCCCAAGCCGGCGGCCAGGAGCAGAAACAGCGCGCCCACTACGACCGCCATCCCTGCAGGATGCGCGACTGCCCGGCGCAGAGAGGCGAACGGCAGGAGGAAAGCCGCGCGGATCACGTGACGCGGCCGGATCACGTGAGAGGCGGACCGCTCTGCTGCCCCCCCCTCGGGCGACGCCCAATGGGGAGAAGCTTCGCGTGGAGGGGGGGGGGCTGGAGAGGGCGGTGGGTGCTGCCCGGGGAGGGGGTCTCTGTCTGGCTCCCTTCCTCTCTTTCTTTCTTTCTTTCTTTCTTTCTTTCTTTCTTTCTTTCTTTCTTTCTTTCTTTCCCCTCCCCTTCCTTCCCCTTTCTTTCTTTCTCTCTCTCCCTCCCTTCACTTCCCTTTCCCTTTTTCTTTCTTTCTTTCTTTCTTTCTTTCTTTCTTTCTTTCGTCCCCTCCCTTCCCTTCCCTTCTTTCTCTCTCTCCCTCCCTCCCCTTCCCCTTTCTTTCTTTCTTTCTTTCTTTCTTTCTTTCTTTCTTCCTTCCCCTCCCCTCCCCTCCTCTTTCTTTCTTTCTTTTTCTTCCTTCCTTCCTTCCCCTCCCCTCTTTCTTCCCCTCCCCTCCTCTTTCTTTCTTTCTTTCTTTCTTTCTTTCTTTCTTTCTTTCTTTCTTCCTTCCTTCCTTCCCCTCCCCTCCTCTTTCTTTCTTCCCCTCCCTTCCCCTTCCTTCCTTCCTTCCATCCATCCTTCCTTCCTTCCTTCCCTTTTTCTTTCTCTCTTCCAAAAAATGAAAAAAATTTCCTTCCTTCCTTCTTCCCTCCCTTCCTCTTCTTTCTGTCTTTCCTTCCTTCTTTCCCGTTTATCTTTCTAGCTTTCCCTTCTCTTTCCTTCCTTTCCTTCTCTTTCTATCTTCTCCCTTCCTCCTTTCCTCCCTTTTTCTTTCTCTCTTCTCCATTTTTCGTCCTTCCTTCCCCTCCCTACCCTACCCTGTCCTCCCTCACTCCCTTCTTCAATTTATATGCCGCCCATCTCGCTCTACAAAGCAAAGCTTTAACAGGGCGGATAGAAATCTAGCTCCATCCTGCCAGCAAAAAGCCAGCAGGGCAGGGCAAATTGAGGAAGGATCTTGGAGCAACAGGCTAGCCTTGTGAGACGCATCCCTATGGCTTTCTTAGCAGCAACATGGAAGTGGGTGGTTAGAGCTTTTTTCCGAGTTGCTTTTTCAACGCCCCACTCTAGTTCATAACTGTTATTTACAGCTCTTATTTTAAGAGTAGGATCACTTACTAAAGAAAGTGAAGCTGAGGGTTTGGGAGTATTTTTTTGTCTTGTTTTTTGCTGTACTGTATGTTTTCAGACTTTGGCCATTACTGTCCTGCCATTTTTGAATTCCTTCATGGCATTGGACTTGATGACTTACCTAGTGATATGGTGAATAACGTATAACATTCATAACAATGTATCATAACATTCTTCTGTGATATGGTGAATAACATTAAGATGTAGTGAAAAAGGAGAAATATATATTAAAACCCCAAGATAATTTGATTTTTCAGGGCAGAAAATTCAGCACAAAAGTACTGACATTCACAGAAGGTACAGAATTTATAAATATAAGTAGAAGGCCTGATTTATATGTCAGTCTAAGATAATGGACATTCATGTTATACCTTATTCGTTTTAACATTGTTACTTTTACAAGATTCAATAAATATTGCATGAATGTGTCAATTTTAATTGTTTGTATAGTAAACTAACCAAGGAGAGAAACAACCTAGAACTAAGGAGGAACTTCCTGACAGTGAGAGCAATTAACCAGTGGAACCACCTGCCTCCAGAAGCAGTGAATGCTCCAACACTGGAAGTTTTTAAGAAGAGACTGGACAGCCATTTGTCTGAAATGGTATAGGGCAGTGGTTCTCAACCTGTGGGTCGGGACCCCATTTGGGGTCAAACGACCATTTCACGGGGGTCGCCAAACAACGCAGTCCGCCATTTTTCCCCCCTTTTCCTTAGCTGTGCTACTCCCTTTTATTCTATTGCCTTTGAAAGCCAATAGAATAGACTCTCTTGAATAGAGTCTAATTATTGGCTTTCAAAAGCCAATAGGAATTGTCCAGGCTGTCTCTGCCCTGCTGAGCCTGCCAAAAGTCCCATTCTGCAAATGGTGCTGCACCAGTTGAGTAGTCCTCGACTGACGACCAGTTGAGTAGTCCTCGACTTATGACCGGTTGGGGGTCGCGGCATTAAAAAGGTTGAGAACCACTGGGGTAGGGTTTCCTGCCTGAGCAAGGGGTTGGACTAGATGACCTCCAAGGTCCCTTCCCCACTTTACTATTATTATAAGTAGAACCCATGGAAACAAAAGCTCTGTGGGGTCCTTTTTAAGTGGGATGAGGGGCTTCTGAGTGAACGTTTCCACTGGCCTAGGCTTGGTGAGAAACCAGCCATCATGATTTGTAAATAAACCTTTAACCCTTAGTTCTTGGGAATTTACGTGTCACCGTCATTAGGAAATAAAAAGGTGATCAGCATGGAAAAAGATCTAAAAAGCACCCACGGGGCCCCTTAAAAGATTAAAACTGCAAAATAACTCCAGGAATAAATGCCTGGGGGGCGGGGGGGGGAAAGCGCGAGCAAACCAAACTAGGGATTGTCCAGGATGCGTAACCATGGTTTAATTAGCCCAATGTTCTGGGTTGACGATGAAGCCCTACTGGTGTTAACGTGACTACTCCATAACCCAGTTTGATGAGCTTGCGAGGCAGAGTTAAGGTGCCAATGAAGTCAGAAAGGCGGAGCTGAACCAGCCACAGGATCCGCAATGCAACCTGGCTCGCATTTAAGCTGCGGGCATCGTGAGAAACAGCTCCCTTCATCCAGCCCTAACCAGCGTTAGCCACACCCAAGATGGCGGTCGCGCTCCCTTTTTTTTTTTTCTTTTCCTTCTCCCCTTGGCGAGCAAATACGAGCGCGCGCGCCCCCCCTCCCTCCGACGATGGCTTCCCGCGAGAGGATTCCCTTTCAAGCCACGCTCAAGATGGATGTCGCCGAGCGACGCTGCGCCGGGCCCCGCCCACTCGCGCCCGAAGGCCAAGCGAAAGAGAGAGAGAGAGAGAGAGAGAGACCCTGCTTCGGGGGTCAGGCGTGGCCCCGCCCTTCGCCGTCCGCCGCGGGGTTGCGTCCCGCCGTGCGTGCGTGCGTGCGTGGTGGCGTGCGTCGAGGTGACGGAGCGGGCCGGACGCGTCCCTTTGTTGGCTCAGCGGCGCCTGTGAGGAGGAGCGGCGGCGGCGGCGGGCGCTGGCGATCGGTCCGCCGAAGGGAGGCGGCGTCCAGGCCGAGGCCTTCGGATCCCGGTGGGGCCGCCCCGCTCGCGGCCCGTCTCGCCGCCTCGCGGCCTCCGGCGCGCGCCGCCATGGACTCGGACGAAGGCTACAACTATGAGTTCGACGAGGACGAGGAGTGCAGCGAGGACAGCGGCGCCGAGGAGGACGACGACGAGCCCGACGACGACGACGACGACGAGCCCGACGACGACAACCTCGACCTGGGCGAGGTGGAGCTGGTCGAGCCCGGGCTGGGCGTGGGCGGCCAGCGCGACGGGCTGCTCTGCGGCGAGACGGGCGGCCTGGGGCCCGGAGGCGGCGGCGGAGGCCTGGGCGGCAGCGGGCTAGGCGGACCGGGCCCGGGCGGCGGAGGCGGCGGCGGCGGGCTGGGCCACGAGCAGGAGGAGGATTACCGCTACGAGGTGCTGACGGCCGAGCAGATCCTGCAGCACATGGTGGAGTGCATCCGAGAGGTCAACGAGGTCATCCAGGTGCGCGTGCCCGGCGCGCGCGCCCCCTCCTCTCTCTCCCCCCCCCCGCGGAGGGATCGGGCTGGAGCAGAAGGAGCAGGCCCGGCGGGAGGGAGGGAAGCGGGGAGGAGGAGGAGGAGGAGGAGAAGGGGGCGCTGCGAGAAGCGGCGGGAGCGGACTCGCCAGCCACGCCTTCGGGCGCCGCTCCTGGCCTGAGCCGGGCCTTCCTTCCCCCCCCCCATCCGTCGCCCCCGTGGAGAAAAGGGCTCCCCCCCTCTCCAGCCTTTGAGCTCTTCAGGAAGGGCTGGAGGACCTCCGGCCTCGCAGCCCCAGCCTGGAAAGGGAGGGGGCGCTCTAGGCAGGCCAAGGAAGGGTTAAAGCACCCCCCCCTTTGCCCCTGCCCCGCAGCTGCTCACTAAAGTGGCCCCCCCGCTTCTGGTGGCAGAAGGGTGAATCGGGGGGGGGGTTCCTTAGCAGAGAGAAGGGGTGGCCATTGCAGCTGGATTGCACAAGAAAGGCAGGAAGGTAAAGGGCTTGGGGGGGGAGAGGGGGGGTTCAGTGTCAGAGTTTGGTGCATGCCAGGTAAGCTGTGACGGGTCACCCCAACCTCGGTGGGAAATGGCAAAGGTGGAGTCGTATTGGCCTCCCCCAAAGGGGAACCCCAGGCTGTCACTTCAGCCCCCACGGATCTGACGCATTAATATCTGTGAAGGCTTTTTGCGATAAGAAGGTTCAACCCTCCCAGTCCTGCTGTTGACTGATGATGGCATGAATCTTTGTGGGCAGCAGCTCAGATGGCAACAGGACAGCAGGGCAGGGCCCGGGAATGTGTACCTATCTCAGTGTCTTGGCATTTGTGAGAAGGATCCAACTCTGTACACAATTGTTGAAAGGGATTGACTCAGGTCGGGTACGAGTTGAATATCTAGTGGCGTTTCAATTGGTACCAAAAATGCTGTAGAAATAAGACACGGTGTTTCTTATTTCCTGGAACTTAACAAACCCTTATTGTGGTGTCTTTTGCATAGGATTGACTGTGTATTGAGATTGTATAGCTTGCTGTTTACGTCATTGATGTAAACGGGGCTAAAGGTTTTTTTTTTTTAGCATTTATAAATAACTATTTCACGTTAGGGTTATAGTTACAACGACATGGTTACAGTTCACAAATTGTAGGTCACATTGCTGACGCTGAGAATGGGGCTAGGAAAATCCCAAGATTAAGGCTTGTGTTATTCATAATCTGCTCATTTTATACCTTCCAGCTGAAACTGGCATCCAAAGTTGCACAAGTTATAAACAATAAAATGGCTAGCACAGGTGTGTAATTGCATTTCCTGTTGCTAATGTAAGTAAAGGGTGTTAATTTGGTCTAGGAAGGGTCTGCTCTAAAGATTAGTCTTGCTCCTGCAATTGTAATGGTCAGGTTGACTTGTAGGGAACAAGGTGCTCTTAGCATTCAAGACAATTCAAATTAGAGGTGGACCTTAATTACTGCGTGCAAAAGTTTTGCCTCTCATTTGCATTGAGCTCTAATGCCCATTGCTGAGTGCTAATGATAGATAGCCTTGGTTAAATTGATTTCCTGGTTTTGTTTGAAAACTCTCCTGGTTTTAGCATGATGACTATATTGAGTCAGAGGTGCATAGAAAAACATTTACACATTTTCCTTTTTTTAGCAGTTTTTTTTTCCAGAAGGTAATCAGGAAACTGAGGTTGGGATGGGATGGGGAGGGGGAATAGGCGTCCACATCTTTTAGGGATGACCATCTCCCGTGAAGAAGAGAAATGGTAATCTGTTATCTTGTCATTCCACAAATATGTCCAGTTCAGGTGAGTGATCTATGCCCAGCAGGTGAGAAAGCTGTATGGAAAGAGAACATCTTTCTGCTTCCAGGAGCTCTTCAGATAGGTAATCTCAAGAATTCCTGAGCAGCAGTGGGACCTGGTCTTCTCTTGAGTAAGCCTTCAGACAGCTCACAAGGGGGGGGGGCTCCTATCCTTTTCTGTGTAAATGTTGCATGGTGTACCTGTAACGTCGCATACATAAGACCTTGTTGAGGGGCTGTTGACGTGACTTGCAATAAAATCCCTTCTCTAGCCCAAGTTTCTTTAGAATTGGCTTGATGGGCCCAGACATTTCTGTTCATGTCCCTAAAACTCTGCAAATATTTTTTTTTAAACTTTCAAGGATCATTCATGATGCATTAGGTGAGAAAGACAGAGGTGGTGAACTTTAGCCTGTATTTCAGAATTCTCCTATGATATCAGTTCTTCCTTGTCCTCTTCTGTGGTTAATAGTACTCACAGCCTTGTGCTTACCTGGAGATTTGCTCTGACTTTAGGAAGTTGGAAAACAATTGAACAAAACAACATATAGTGGTGATTTACTTTTGTGTTGAGAACTCCCGAACAAGGTAACGTTAATCCTCTAAAGATTTGCTAAAGGAAAGGGAAGAATAGTTTGAGCCTGATGCCAAATTACAAGAACTGAGTGGTAGTTAAAGCTGGGTGAGTAATTGTGGGTGTGGACTGGGCTGTATTCCTTCCTCCTCCCAGATCTAATTGAACAGATCCAAATCCAGAGCTTATCTTGCTGTAATTCAGAGGCAATATAAAGATTGACAATGAAGGATGTCTTTGTGTCTGGTAGGTCCAAGGTCAAATTTAAGAGGGAGCTATTAAGCCAACTGGTGAGCTGACTGTCTTACCTTAGAATCACACTGCCATATGAATGAGTCTCTCAACTTTTGACCTTCCTTGCTGGTTGCTGAGTAGTCGGTTGAATTTCATGCAGGAAATAAACATTAGAATTAATGCCATTTGTGGTTTGTCTCTTCATTTCTTTTGTTAATTTTGGGATTGACAGAGGAGCAAATTGCCAGTCTTGTCAAATCAGGTGGCCGTTACTAGCCCAATTTCAAGAGCCATAGAAGGACTTACTAGTGGCACTTAGGTATCAATGTCCTTAAACTGTAAATGTTATTGTTTGAGAAGGATTAAAAGATGGCCTGGGAATCCTGCAAAATGAATATTATCAGGTGGTTTTATGTTTTTTATATGCAAATACACATGCATTCCTTTTAAGTAGCTGGTGTTTTAACATCTCCAGAGTATCTAATACAAGGATGCTACCTCAAGTCTCTTGCGTCCTGGTCTTTCTTAAATATAATGGGGCCAGATTCCTTTTTTGTATTCAAAAATAGGTTTTCACAGTTTGGAAAGACGAAGCCTCTGAGCATTTCATTTGCCTTATTTTTTTAAGGCTGTGGAGAAGGAGAAGAAAATTGAACATGAAATGTGTTAGGTTTAGCATGCACACATTAGTATGGCCTGGTGTCTGACTCAAACCATTGCTACATTCTTGGTTTGTGCAGTAAACTTCAAGCTGCCCCACCGTACATAAGACATTCTGTTACTTACAAAAGGGTTGTACATTTTTGACAGTCCAAACCACCAGCCTTGTGTTTTTTTCTTCGCTTTGCATATGAAATAAACCACATGCTTCCTACAGAGCATTAATTAATAGTTAATTTGCAGCCCCCAACTTTTGTTGCTAAGTCAGACATTTGTGGAGTGAGTTTTGTCCTATTTTACTGGCTTTCTTGCACCGATTGTTAAGTTAGCAACACGGTTATTGAGTGAAACTGGCTTCCCCATTGAAGATCTAAAGGTCGCATAAGGGGATCACGTTACCACCATCATAAATATGAAGCAGTTGCCAAATATTGTGAATTTTGATCACAGGGATGCTGCAATGGTCGTAAATGTGAAAAACGGTCATAAGACACTTTTTTCAGTGCCGTTGTAACTTTGAGTGGTCATTAAACAAACTCTTGTAGGTCAAGGGCGACCGGTATAGATTTGTACATAGCCACTTTGTAAATGAAGAGACTTGTCAGTAAAGGACTAGAGCAGGGGTCTTCAAACTTGGCAACTTTAAGACTTGTGGACTTCAACTCCCAGAATTCCTCAGCCAGCCAGAATTCTGGGAGTTGAAGTCCACAAGTCTTGAAGTTGCTAAATTTGAAGACCCCTGGACTAGAGCAGTGTTTCTCAACCTTGACAATTTTAAGGCATGTGGACTTCAACTCCCAGAATTCCACGTGCCTTAAAATTGTCAAGGTTGAGAAACACTGGACTAGAGGTATGTTAAGACATTTGGAACTCTTCCATTTTTTAAAAACAAAACAAAACAGCAACAAGCTATTAGCGGGACACTGATCTGAACCAATTTATTGTCACTTGGGTGTGTAATCTCTGGAGATTTATTTTACAGTGTTCCCTATAAAGCAATCAGCCTTTCTCTGCCATTCTTCCTTGGAGTTGTTGAGAACAGGGAGACCCAGATTCTAATTCTCCCTTGGGCAAGGAAGCTGGTTGATTTAGCCCTAGATGGCAAAGTTGGTAAACATCTGTCTGGACCAGGGAGGCTGGTTGTAGCCCAAGTTCCTAAATGGAGAATATTTCATCCAGCAGTGAACTAATTCACACTCATGATGTATATGCTCATCTACTGTATCTAGTACATTGTATCTCAATTCTATTTCTGAAAAGGTCCTATCATGCAAGCCAGTGCTGTGTTTTTGGTATTTTGATTTTAACCAAGTTTGCTGCCCTGCCCAATATTATCCCAGATGGGAAAGGACTGATGTTAAAAAACAATATTTGGAATATTGAATATTTGGAAGGATTACCTGATAGTGCAACGCTAAAAGCGAGTTGTTTTAAGTGTGTATCGACCTATTGCCACCTATGTGTAAGCCTACATTCAGCTTGTTTACTTTTATATAGCTGTATGTATTATTTTTTTTTTACAGTGGATGGAAAGTGGACTAATATTTCCTCTGTGAGAAGATTAATTTATACTTTGTAGAGAATAGGAAAGCAATAGTTTGATGCTGGAGAATGTTGGATTGTTGGACTTGAACTGTAGGCTTCTCATTAAGTAATGATGTGACTGGTAGATTTTGAGCCAGCTAGCCTTTCTCATAGTTTCGAAACTAACATGAGCAGCTGTTTCTTCTTGGGAGAAGAAGCAATGTTAGAACAATGGAGAAATTTGCAGCTAAATTGGAAAACACTATCATTGCAATTAGCAATTTGCCATCCTCGTGTTCCTGTTTGCACAAACTTACCCAATATTACGTGTGTGATCTTTTAGTGACATGGTAAATTTGGTATTTTATCCTATTTAGATTGGGCTATATTCTAAATTGTTTCTTGGTGTCTGTGGCTGTAAAATAGAGCCTGGACTAATTATGACAGCCATCCCAGAAATTAATACCATTACCGAAGCTATGACTTGTAATGTTGAAACGGTCTTACAGATCCTGGATATATTTTTAACATCAGAAGGGCTGTCTGCAGGAGTTGGACAGCTGTTTTTTTTTTTTTTAAATCACTTGCAGTCTTAGAGCAGTAGAGTACATAGATTATCATACTAGCACAGACCCAAGTAGAAAAAAGTGTTATGTAACATGTTGCCTTAGAATAAAATGACTGAACTTGGATGTTTTGTAGGCTGCAAATATTTTCAAAATAGGTAAGGCTTTTGATTAACTATTAGGGTTAACAGATCCTTTTGCTGTATTTTGAGAAGGCCTGTGATATTTATCCTGAATTCTGTAGAGTTATTTGTAGAAAAAGTCTGTCTTAAAAAGTGCTTCTGTTGCTAACATCAGATGAAATCTTTTCAACATCCAATTTTATCTTTCATGTAACCTTGATGCAGGATTGTTTGGCCAATTCATTGTTTTGAGAAGTTAAAAACAAAATCTCCCCAAAGAAAGCGTTGGCAAAACATTTCTGTACTATTTGCCAAGAAAATTGCATGTGATCCATGTGATCACCAGAGTTGATTTCATAGATGCATGTATGTTACATATCCTAAAAATAGACTTGAATTATAATCAAACCAGACTGTATTCCATTCCAGTGTCTTTTGCATTCTCTTTTGCATGTTCAAGTGTATAGAGGTTATATTGATACATTTAACACAGTGGTTCTCAACCTTTTTAATGCCGCGACCCCCAACCGGTCGTAAGTCAAAGACTACTCAACCGGTCGTAAGTCGAGGACTACTCAACTGGTGCAGCACCGTTTACAGAATGGGACTTTGGGCGGGCTCAGCAGGGCAGAGACAGCCTAGACAATTCCTATTGGCTTTTGAAAGCCAATAGAATTAGACTCTGTTCAAGAGAGTCTATTCTATTGGCTTTCAAAAGCCAACAGAATAAAAGGGAGTAGCACAGCTAAGGAAAAGGGGGGGGGGAAATGGCGGACTGCATTGTTTGGCGACCCCCGTGAAATGGCCGTTCGACCCCAAATGGGGTCCAGACCCACAGGCTGGGAACCACTGATTTAACGACTTTTACATACTTAATCTCTGAATAAAGTCAAAAATTGTAGATGATAAAAACATTCCCAGATGTGACGATTTTGCATTATTAGTATGAACAATAAATCCTTGGAAGAATTCCTCGTCTATTAATCTCCAAGAATTCTGGTTTTCTGGGGCGTCCTCCTTTGATCTGTTTGGTTTCTTCTGTCAGTAGACATAACTAAGTAACACAGGAAAACATATTGCCTGCAAACCCAGAAGTGTGGCTTAGTCTTCTAACAAGCCAGAGAGTTAGTAGTAAACTAGAGAAGGCATCTCTCTGGTTAGTTTTTCAGCTCCTTTTTCCAAGAGGAGCAAAGTGGGAGCTACTTTATTGCATGCATGAGTTTGCTTTGCTCGCATTAAGCCTAAATTCCCAGATATTCTGTTTATTATGAGATGTGAGTGTTCCAGGTGTTTGTCCGCTGGGCTTAGCTATTTCATGTGCAACATTAAACTGACATTTAATAGCTAAGAGGATTATACTTATATTCTTACCTGCCTATTTATGGAAATCTGTACTCGTAAATCCTTTTTAGTTTCATTGGGATCTCTGGAATATGTAAATAACACGCAACATTCAGAATAACTTTAAAATCTGGATTTTTTTTTAAAAAAGCTGGTCGAATTCCGTTTTTGAATTAGCCTGTTGAAGTCTAGTCTTAACATTGCCTGAATGTGTTAAAAAAAAGGAAATGAATTAAAACCAAGCACTCCAGATCTTGTGTGTTTAAGGGGTGGGCGAGTCCCCATTCTTGCACAGGCTCCACGTTCTAGTGCCGCGGCCCCCAACCTTTTGGGCACCAAGGACCAGTTCCATGGAGAAAGGTTTTTCCATGGACCAGACTGGGCCTGGTTTCATGTGCTGCCTGCATCCTGCAGATGGGGCTTTGCTTGCTTGCGTGGCCCAGTTGCTGGCATGCTGTGGACTGGTGTCGGTCCACGGACCGGGCGTTGGGGACCCTTGCTCTAGTGTAGAGGTGTCAAACTCAATTCCACTGAGGGCCGGATCAGCATTGCAGTTGCCCTTGGGGGGGGGCAGGTAGGTGTGGCCTGGCTGGGTGTGGCTGGAGTGGGTGTGGCCTACTGGGTGGACGTGGCCAGCTCTACATCGTTCGCGTCAAGGGTGCCTGTGGGGGCCTGGGCAGAAGTGGGACAGATCTGGGGGTCTCTGGCAGAAGGGGGTGGGACCAGGGCAAGTGCCAAGGCATGGTCCATTTCTTCATTCCTCACAAAGGGATGCACCTAGGGGGTGGGGCCAACGTGGCAGGGGCTGGTTCCTCGCTGTTTCTAGACGGCCTTGTGGAGCTAAGGCTGAATGTGTTTCAGGATAGATGGCCACCACAAAATTGTACATTGGCTCCCGGCCGGCCTGGGCCAGGGCCAAGGCAGCGGGGGGCCGTTCCCTCACTGTTTCCAGGATGGCTTCGCGGGCCACATGAAACCACTTCACGGGCCGCATCCGGCCCCCGAGGCCTTGTGTTTGACATGTCTGCTCTAGTGAACCAATAAAGGAGAATATTTGTAGCTCTGGCTTGAAATGAGGAGTCCTTGGTGCTCTCTGAGCTTGGTTGTTTTCTTGCAGACAATTCATTACTGGCACTGATGAGGTTATCTAGTTTGGGCAATGAAACATCTGCAAGGCAGCAGCCAAGCTCGGAGGACACCGAGGACCCTTCCCTTCCAGTCTGCTTTAGAGGACTGGGGAACTGTAGGGGACCTATTCAACAGTCAGAAGAAGCGTCATAAGAAAATTTCAGGTTCCACAATTTTAGATTTCACTCATTATTGATCAGTACTGATCGTGCAACTGATTTAGACTTGAATTGCCTTTGAAATAACCATCACGTTTATATCAGATATAATTGGGGGGGGGAAGAAGTTTTGGGAGAAAGGGCAGGTCTGCTGGTCACGTTCCTGATGACGACTTTCCTTCCTCTTCTAGAACCCGGCTACCATCACCAGGATACTCCTCAGTCATTTCAACTGGGATAAAGAAAAACTGATGGAGAGGTAAGTGAGCTGGTTCCTTTCTCCTCCTCCCGGGTAGCCAGAATAGCAGGAACTCACTATTGTGATTCCGACTTTCTTTAAACCAGTGGTTCTCAACCATTTTAATGCCGCGACCCCCAACCGGTCGTAAGTCGAGGACTACTCAACTGGTGCAGCCCCGTTTGCAGAATGGGACTTTTGGCGGGCTCAGCAGGGCAGAGACAGCCTGGACAATTCCTATTGGCTTTTTGAAATTGCATTCTGACAATTCCTATTGACTTTCAAAAGCCAATTGAATAAAAGGGAGTAGCACAGCTAAGGAAAAGGGGGGAAAAATGGCGGACTGCGTTGTTTGGCGACCCCCGTGAAATGGTCATTTGACCCCAAATGGGGTCCCGACCCACAGGTTGAGAACTGCTGCTTTAAACAAATGAGGCCTGTTTCTTTAAATAAATGAGGCATGTTTGTGAGCCAGGCTTGACGTTTGAGGCTATTTAGAAATCAAAGAAGCCCATTGAGGTCTCTTGGGAGGATAGGGGGAAAAATGTGTCCTTATGTGGACTAATTATTGGAAAAGTATTTGCTTTGGGCTTTTGCAAAATTCCTTACACAATTCATAAATTCAGCCTGGGTGGTATAGTTCCATATCTCGCACAACATACTTACAAAGCGTGTGGGTGCCATTATGCGCCCCCATCCTTACCAAAGATACTAACATTTGGAATTTGTTGTGGAATAAAGATAAGATATCAGTAACATGAGAGAAAGAGTTTTTTTATAGAAGCAGTCAGTATAGAGCAGTGGTTCTCAACCTGTGGGTCGGGACCCCATTTGGGGTCGAACGACCATTTCACGGGGGTTGCCAAACACCGCAGTCCGCCATTTTCCCCCCCTTTTCCTTAGCTGTGCTCCTCCCTTTTATTCTATTGGCTTTTGAAAGCCAACAGAATAGACTCTCTTGAATAGAGTCTAATTCTATTGGCTTTCAAAAGCCAATAGGAATTGTCCAGGCTGTCTCTGCCCTGCTGAGCCCGCCAAAAGTCCCATTCTGCAAACGGTGCTGCACCAGTTGAGTAGTCCTCGACTTACGATCGGTTGAGTAGTCCTCGACTTACGACCGGTTGGGGGTCGTGGCATTAAAAAGGTTGAGAACCACTGGTATAGAGGCATAACTATCAGGGCTATAAGACGCTATCTTAGTATCAGAACTAACTCAGTAACATTTGTTAGGGTATAATGTGATTTCAGCCTCCTCTGTTGGGTGGACCAAAATATGGTTGCTTAGTTAACAGGCTGGTGAAATGCACCTTGGAGTAGTGTGATAGAAAAATCTAAACTTGGAACAGCTCCTAAAATAGCTTTCTGAGTTAAAACGCTTAACAAGCAGTTATACTCAAGAGCCTTTCTTATCATTATAGTTAATTCACTGGCTTAATCTAGTTGCAATTAATCATACCAGCATTTTTTTTTTTTTTTGCAACTTTCCCTAAAAACCTTGGAGTTGTACCCAGAGCTGAGAGGTTGGCCTGTTCAACATTTTTTGAAATATTAGGGCATTGTAGGCGTTTGGAATAATTTTTCACATTGGAGAGCTTATCTACAAGCAACGGTTTTCACTTTCAGTTTTTGATTTACAATTTCAAATAACTTTGAGGACAACGTGGGAGGCTAGAAAATGTTTATTCATATCCAGTTTGACATTTTTTTTCCAGAAGCTTAACTTTAGATGCTGAACTAATAGGCATTTCTTTGGAGAAGGTTGTGAAAATGTTGCGTTGTCTATAACAGTTTTAATTTAATGTTTGATTGCTGAAGGCAGGGTTTGTTGGAAAGCTTTAGTACACGGGGCTGCAGTCGTATGCTTGAATTTTTTTAATGTGTTTATTGATTGGTTATGGGTCATCAAATGGATGTTTAGTCATTGTGATGTCACTGATGTTGACTTTTTGTGATGATCTTTCTCCAGGATGTTCTGTCCCTAGCCTGACCCTTCAGGTCTGCCAACAATTTTCTCTCTCCCCCCCCCCCCCTGCTATTGTGTCAAGTGTCTCCTTTGGCAAGCTTGTATTTATTTGTAATTTTAATGTGATTTTATATACTTATGGTTTCATTTTATTTTTGTAAGCTGCCCAGAGACCGAGACCGAGCACACACATTAGATTTGTAGACTCAGCAACAGGGATTTCGCCCTGAAGTGACCCTTTGAAGCAGGAGATTTTTGAAGCAGGGTGGCCCACAACTTTTCCCCAGTGCATTTTGCTGTTTAAAAAAACAAACAAACAAATGTGTGCAATTGTTTTATGGATTTACAGAACCAAGACCATCTGCCTCCTCTAGCTAGGAGATGAATTAGAAGGCAGGAAGTTTGGGTTTATATACAGATCCCAGAGCCTCCTGCATGCTGGCTGGAATTATTTTCAGGATTGTTTTTTTTTTTTTTTTTTTGGTAGGGTTTTTTTTTTTCAGAGATATTTTTTTTTAATTCATTCGGCTTCATTCTTGTTTCGGTAGGTACTTTGACGGCAACCTGGAGAAGCTGTTTGCAGAATGTCATGTCATTAATCCTAGTAAAAAGTCTCGAACACGTCAGATGAACACCAGATCATCTGCACAGGATATGCCATGTCAGATCTGCTATCTCAACTATCCGAATTCGGTGGGTGCCTTCCAAGTTGTGCAGTCTGTAACTTTTCTCTCTCTCTCTCTCTCTCTCTCTCTCCCTCTCTCATCTATCTATCTATCTATCTATCTATCTATCTATCTATCTATCTATCTATCTATCTATCTATCTATCTATCTCTATCTGTCTTCTATCTGTCTATCTCTGGTCCTGTCCAGCAGCATCACCAGTTCTAAACGTGTGTCCTTAATGGGAGATTTGGGCGACAATGCCAGCTTGTTCACTTTGCCATCTTAATTTCAATTCTGGGGTGTGAAAACCTCAGGAAATGTGGCAGCATGAATTGGGGTAGTGGGGTAAGGAAGTTTGTGTGCATTCCCTGGCACTTTGGAAACCTCTCCCTTTCCCCTCAGCAAGCTGGCTCAGGAATTCTGGGAGTTGAAGTCCACGAGTCATAAAAGAGCCAAAGTTGCCTACTCCTGGATCAGGGGCTGCTGGGATGAATGTTTGTGGCAGACCCGTGTGTGTGTGTGTGTGTGTAGATGTGTGTGTAGGGTGGAAGACCTCCCCAAAGCCCCTGAGTTCAGTTGCTGTGCTGTGTTACTCTGAACTTGCAAAAGACGGTGCCGTCCAGTTTCAGAGCTGTGAAAACGAGTAAAGCTAATGATGATTTGTCTTTCCAGTATTTCACTGGCTTGGAGTGTGGACACAAGTTTTGCATGCAGTGCTGGAGTGAATATTTAACTACCAAAATAATGGAGGAGGGCATGGGACAGGTAAAATTCTTCCTTCTTGTGTTTACGCTGAATTAACGATGTTAGAAGAAAGGCCTGCATCGTGCTCCAGCTGTTCCTTTGCTGAGCGCTCCCCCTCCTCCCCCCCCCAATTGGGAAGCAGCTGAGAATTTGCACTGCTGACACTTTTCAGAAGCACAAGCATTAGAAACTGGGAAGTTTGCAACTGAGAAAAGCCGGGTGGGATCTTGGCTGGCATATCTCGGGCTTCTCTCTCCCATGGGGAGAAGGGAAGCAGGGAACCCATCTCGGATGTCCTTGCCCTCTGGAACCTGGGAGGAGGAAAGCCGGCTTGGACTAGTGCAGTGGTTCTCAACCTTTTTTATGCCGCGACCCCCAACCGGTCGTAAGTCGAGGACTACTCAACCGGTCGTAAGTCGAGGACTACTCAACTGGTGCAGCCCCATTTGCAGAAGGGGACTTTTGGCGGGCTCAGCAGGGCAGAAACAGCCTGGACAATTCCTATTGGCTTTTGAAAGCCAAGAGAATTAGACTCCATTCAAGAGAGTCTATTCTATTGGCTTTCAAAAGCCAATAGAATAAAAGGGAGGAGCACAGCTAAGGAAAAGGGGGAAAAAATGGCGGTTTGCGTTGTTTGGGGACCTCCCTGAAATGGTCGTTCGACCCCAAATGGGGTCCCGACCCACAGGTTGAGAACCACTGGACTAGTGGTTACATGTCTGTGGAGATACTTTGAAAGAAAGCACCTTTGGGACTAGTGGTTAAGGCACCAGGCTAGAAACCAGGAGAGGTGAGTTCTAGTCCTGCCTTAGCCATGAAAGGCAGCTGGGTGACTTTTGGGCCAATCACCAGGAGAGAGGTGAGTTCTAGTCCTGCCTTAGGCATGAAAGCCAGCTGGGTGACTTTGGGCCAATCACCAGGAGAGAGGTGAGTTCTAGTCCTGCCTTAGCCATGAAAGGCAGCTGGGTGACTTTTGGGCCAATCACCAGGAGAGGGTGAGTTCTAGTCCTGCCTTAGCCATGAAAGGCAGCTGGGTGACTTTTGGGCCAATCACCAGGAGAGGGTGAGTTCTAGTCCTGCCTTAGCCATGAAAGGCAGCTGGGTGACTTTTGGGCCAATCACCAGGAGAGAGGTGAGTTCTAGTCCTGCCTTAGGCATGAAAGCCAGCTGGGTGACTTTGGGCCAATCACCAGGAGAGAGGTGAGTTCTAGTCCTGCCTTAGGCATGAAAGCTAGCTGGGTGACTTTTGGGCCAATCACCAGGAGAGGGGTGAGTTCTAGCCCTGCCTTGGGCATGAAAGCCAGTGACTTTGGGCCAATCACCAGGAGACTGGGAGTTCTAGTCCCTCCTTACGTAGAAAAGTCAGTTGGATAACTTTGGACCTGTCCTCTCTCAGCCCTTCACAGGGTTGTTGTTGTGGGGAGAATAGGGGAAGGCACATAATATTGGATATGTTTACTGCCTTGAGCTGTTTGTAAAAACAATATATTAATAAATTAAATAAAAATGTATATCTGAACTTGAGAGAATTTAGTGGCAGGGCCACCCTTTTTTTTTTTCTCTCTCGCTTCACTACCTTCCTTCCCTCCTCTTTTCCCTTCCTGCTTGATAATATGCCAAAGCTCTCGTTAGTCATTTGAATGAATTTCTTGCAAAAATAAAAATAGGGCTTTTGCCATTTGGCAACGGACCTGCCTTCCCCTTTCACGTTTGGAGAGATTCGGGACTCAGTCCTGGAAGCTTCCTGGGTGACTTTTGACTTCTCCCTTGCTTTCAGTCCGACCTACTTCACAGGTGGCTGCTGTGGGGCGTTAAATGAAAGACTCCTTGAACTTCTGATGAAAAAAAAAAAAGAATATAAGCAAAATAAATGGGCACAGTCTTAACGCTGGTCTGGAATTGAGAAAAGAAAATGCTTCTCTGTAGAATTTTCTTAGAGGCATCAATACCTAAACTAATCAGATGTGTTTTTCTTTGTCTTCTGTTTCTTCCCGTCGCCTCTTGGATGTCCTTGCTAGACAATCTCCTGCCCGGCTCACGGCTGTGATATCTTGGTTGATGACAATACAGTTATGTAAGTGTTGCGGTTGACACGATTTCAGTTAAGACTTGCATTTTCTGAGCTTAATGCCCGTCGATTGGCTCCACCTTGTATGGAGGGATGAGTCCATCACGTCGTTTAACATCCCGAGACTCTGGTCCCTGTGGGCCTCCCAGGAACAGGGAAGTTCTCCCATCAAAGTGGGCTTTTGCGGCCCGCTTCTTCCTCTCTTAGCTTGCTTTGAAGCGAGATAGTAGGCATCCAGGGAACAGCGTCTGATCATACTGAAGTCAGGATGTACATACGAACAAATTATGATAAGTATATTGGGTCACCCGTCAAGGTTTTTAAGTCACTCCTTTCACAGAAGGCCTACTAAGAGGGTCTGTTGCATCATTCTTAGAGAAAAATAGCATTTGTTGCAGGGGCTTGTTCGGCTTACTGTGGTGGCGCAGTGGTTAGTATGCAGTATTGTAGGCTAACTCTGCATTCCCACTGTCAGGTGTTCGATTCTGACCAGCTCAAGGTTGATTCAGCCTTCCATCCTTCTAAGGTCAGTAAAATGAGGACCCAGATTGTTGGGGGCATTAGGCCAACTCTGTAAACCGCTTAGAGAGGACTGTAAAGCACTGTGAAGCGGTCTATAACAGAGGCCCCCAACCTTTTGAGCACCAGGGACTGGTTCCACGAGAGAGGTTTTTCCACGGACCGGAGAGTGCGTGGTTTTGTGTGCTGCCTGCATCCCGCAGATGGGGCTTTGGTTGTTTGTGTGGCCCGGTTGCTAGGATGCCACGGCCCGGTACCGGTCCACGAACTGGGGGGTTGGGGACCTCTGGTCTATAAGTCTAAGTGCTATTGCTGAGTGCCTAGTGCTGCTTGCTCCATTGTTTGATCAAGAATGAAGATACAACATCGGGCACTTCTTTTCCTGTACAAGTAGTCCTTGACTTATGAATGGCTGCAGTGATTAGTAGCACAGTTGTTAATTGAATCCAGTTTCCCCCATTGACTTCGCTTGTTAGAAGGTCACAAAAGGAGATCACATGACCAGGGACCCTGCAGCGGTCATAAAGATGAGTCAGTTGCCAAGTGTCTGGCGTTTGATCCCATGACCAAGGAGTTGCTTCAGTGGTCGTAAATGTGAAAGACGTTCATTTTTTTCAGTGCGGTTCGAGTGGACGCCAAATGGAGTATTGTTAGTCAAAGATTCCCTGTACTTTGGCTACAGGGTCATAATGGGAATGGAGGTGAATGGAAGCAGAGAAAGGGACGGAAGGCTTGAGAAGAGTGGCGTAAACCTGGAAAATGCTTTGAACGTTGAAGGTGGTGGTTGAGGTTCTTGAGGATTCTTTCTCTTAAGTCACCCAAAATCGCGGCCGAACAGCTTTATAAGCAATGCAGAGTGACTCTCAGAGCCCAAAATGGGTCATCTAATAAATCAGGGGTCTTCCAACTTGGCCCTTTGATGACTTGTGGACTTCAACTCCCAGAATTCCTCAGCCAGGCACGCGTGCCTGGCTGAGGAATTCTGGGAGTTGGAAGTCCACAAATCATCAAAGGACCAAGTTGGAAGACCCCTGCTTTACAATGTTGGGCTCTTGCGTAATCCTTTCCAGCAATAAAATGTCGGGTTTGAATTAATGCATTTGGCCCTTTTGGGGTGGCTCTTGTAATCCTGCCGAAGTGACTTTTCTCAGTATCTTTTTTAGCATATGTATATTAAACTGAGGGTGGGGGGAGATGACATTACTCCTGGGGAGTAGGGGGTTCCCACGTGTAACTCATGTAAAAGGTTGAGCCACTCGCTTCCTGATTTGTAAACCTGAAATCGTCCCATTAAAACCCTGTGAGTTTAAACTGCCTCAGGCAAACACGTTCATTTTGATCTGGCATTTGACTGAGAGTGGGCATTCTGCAGCCAGGGTGGCCCTTTCAGAAGGACCCTCTTTCCTATAAAGATTTAATTTGATTTTTTTTTTTTCGGTGGTACCGTAGAACAAATAAGAAGAGAGTGTGGGGAAAGCCACTCTTTCAAATATCGGAGCTTGATTGCTAAGTGAGACTGTTGTTTTCCTTGAAAACACATTAATTGGTTAAAAGGTTGGACTCCTAAGGTAACAAGGTTTTCTGAATGGAATATTATCTTTCTCTTCTTTTTTGTAGGCGCCTGATCACAGATTCAAAAGTTAAATTAAAGTACCAGCATTTAATAACTAATAGTTTTGTAGAGGTGAGTGTTCTGTTTAAAACTATATGCTAACGTGATGGTATAGGAGAAGTTCTTCCTTTTGTTTCAGGAACTTAGATATGCTAGAAGCCGTTTAAATATGTGGGGGGTTGTTGATTGATCAGCGGTGTTCACTTTTGGGTGCCATTCTCGGCTTTTGATGCCGAAATACTCGTTCTGGGTGCGAGTGTCTTTAGTTAAACCACTGGCTCTAATGCAGTGGTTCTCAACCTTTCTAATGCCGTGACCCCTAATACAGTTCCCCATGTTGTGGTGACCCCCAAGTGGGTGTGGCCACCAATAAGAGGGAGTAGGACAACTAGGGAAAAGGAAAAAAAATGGCGGACAGCGTGGTTTGGCGACCCCCGTGAAATGGTTGTTTGACCCCAAATGGGGTCCTGACCCACAGGTTGAGAACCACTGCTCTAATGAGACAACTTGCCTCCAGAAGCGGTGAATGCTCCAACACTGGAAGTTTTTTAAGAAGAGACTGGACAGCCATTTGTCCGAAATGGGGATAGGGTTTCCTGCCTGAGCAGGGGGTTGGACTAGATGACCTCCAAGGTCCCTTCCGACTCTGTTCTTCTATTATACTGTTTGTCAGACAGCATTTAAAAAGTTACACTATTGCTTTGGCTCAAAATCTAAAATTCTGATCCCTGTGAAGGCCACGATTTTTACGGAAGTATTTTAGCCACTTGGTTTGGTTGACTGTTTCCAGAGAAACCACTTAACTAGCTTCTCATATCTTCATAATAACTTGGATGAGTTTCTTGGATGGAAAGCGAAACGTTTTCAAAGAGGAAAAAACTCCCCCAAGGAAGCCCAGTTTTCCTTTTGGGAAACCGTCTTTGGGACGGTTTTAGGACTTGCTTTTAACTAGTGCTGTGCAGTTCTCTTTGAATATGAAGAGAGTCTCAGAAGATAACAGCAGGGTAGGTCTCCGTCGAGATGAAGTTTTGGATAAAGGATTTCTGGCAAGAGAAGGGAGTGAGGTGGACTGTCAACAAGCCATCTTTCAGTGCAGTCTGCCCCTGCCATCTCGGCAGCAGACCCCCCGTTGAAAGCAGCGAGGCTGTGCAATTTTTGTTCCTGGCTTTCTCCGTGCTAACCATGGGTGGGTTTGTTTCTTCCAGTGCAATCGACTGTTAAAATGGTGTCCTGCTCCAGATTGCCACCATGTTGTTAAAGTACAGTATCCTGATGCTAAGCCTGTTCGCTGTAAATGTGGCCGTCAGTTTTGGTAAGCAGGTTGGATGATAGAACACCATTTTGGTACGTTGGCTTGGTAGGGTAGCCGTGTGGAAATCAGCCTTGGCTTCCCGTGATAGCAAACCCAAGTGAACATGGGCTGCTGAACATTTGGGGGGGGGCACAGGGAGATGCTTGCTGACTGCCAGTCACCAATGAAGCTTTGTGGGTTATAGCAAACCTCTGTATCTTAAAAAGTTCCTCTGTTTCAAGTATTGCGTACCTGGAAAACTGTCTAAAAATATTTTTAAACGTTTGTTGCAGTTTTAACTGTGGCGAGAACTGGCATGATCCTGTTAAATGCAAGGTGAGCTTTTTAAAGCTTTCTGGGTTGCATCTAACATGTGGCAGTATAGAAAAGTAATACAGCTTCAGGGGATAAATATAGCAGCAGCAACACATGAAAGGGTTTTAGGATACCTTGGAAATACAGCTTTTGAAGAGTAGGCCATGAGACGGGGAGCTTCACGCCCACTTCAGGTTGCCCACCCACTTCATATTTTTTATGCCCTAACCCCTTTTCCAGGGAAGTTGGAATAAACCATTCAGAATCAGGGAGAGCAAACACAATTCTCTGCTTAGAAAGCATTTTGTATCAACTGAAGACAAGTATGATCAACTCAGCATGGCGAGATTTGAAATTCACTTCTATTTCCTACGGCGTTTTGGGGGTCCTGAGAATGATGCTTTGGACCTGAACTGGCTTGAATGAGTAAATAAAAGTTTTACGATTATTTCTCAAGATGATAGGAGCCCATTTGCATATATCCAGCTAGTTATTTCATTCACGAGACAAGGAATTTTAAATGTTATGATAGCTGTAAGCTTTACGTCCACTGATGTTTTGTTTTAAATCCTGCTGAGCCCTTTCTTGCCTTCTCCCTTTTGCTTTTAGGTGGTCATTCATTCCTCAAATGTTTTAAAATAATTTTTTAAAAAATGTTGTTTTTTGCCAAGTTGCTTATTGTAGAGAAGTTGAAGGCAGTCCCTTACATCCGATAAACTGTTAATTGAGGAAGCCTGCAATGATTCCATTAGAACAATTATGATTTTTTTTTTCCCCCTCTCCCGGACAGTGGTTGAAAAAATGGATTAAGAAATGTGATGATGACAGTGAAACTTCGAATTGGATTGCAGCAAACACAAAGGTTTGGTGGTTTGTTTCTCTGGCTTGACACCCTCACAATACAGAGTCTCTTTTCTCCCTTACGAGAACGTTCCGTGAAATCTGACGGTTCCTTTTGCATATAGTGAGTGATCATTTTTCCCTGTAAACAATAGCTTCTGTGGTTTCCTCTCTTTCCAACTCAGATAACTGGAGAGCCAAAAAGTACCAGTATCTATTATGCCTGGGTTTGGGGTTTTTTTTTTTTTTTTTCAATTGCTGCAAAATCAAGAGTTACTGTCTAACTGAGGAGGACTAACAAATTTGCACTTATTGAAGGTGATGCAGAACAGGAATGTGTCCATATTTGTGGTTCCTGGAAACGCAGGAACGTGTCTCCAGCTCTAGTCTAGCTATTGATCCATTGCTGCATTGATCTACAGTGCCTTTGTCAGGGTCCAGGCAAATTTTTACCGAGTCCTTCTGTGCAAATTGCAAAATACAATGCAGGGCTTTCTAAGAGAGATACTCAGCCCTTTCTAACCTCAGATTTCTGGAAATGGGTCCCAGCTCAAACTGGCGGCCCATTTCATGCTTTGTAGACATCACAAGCTGTTCCACAAACTCTGCACAGTCTTTCAGTGTCGGTGGCGGAGAAGGGGAAGTGGTTAAGGCATGTAAAAAAACAAAATACACGGTATGGAGAAAGTAGACGAGCTTTGCTCGGAATATTGAGAGAGGCCGTCTGGTGTACATGATTCAAACCATTGTTTACACAGCCCTCTGGACTTTATAACTTCAAGCTGGAGGGGTGATGGTCACTTAAGGTAAATAGCTGTGAGGAATTTGGATAAATTCAGGAAGGATAGGTTGATGGGAGAATTTGTAGTCTCAGGCTCACGATCCACATACTGAAAGAAGGGTGAGTGATAAGTTTGATTTCTTCTAATGAGCATCCTGGCAGCATTTTGTTAGCCAAGAAACAACAACAACAACAAAAAAAGGCTGGACTACGGTGGTCCGTCCCTTGATAGACAACTGCTAAGTATCTTCACCACTCTTCTCCCAGGACTTGCCGATGTGTTCAGAATTTATTTCGTATCCTAATTCGGTGTTTCTCAACCTGGATCATTTTAAGACAGTGTTTCTCAACTTGGCAACTTTACGACATGTGGACTTCAACTCCCAAAATTCTCCAGCTAGCAATGCTAGCTGGAGAATTCTGGGAGTTGAAGTCCACACGTCGTAAAGTTGCCAAGGTTGAGAAACACTGTTTTGAGAGGTGTGGACTTCAGCTTCCAGAATGCCCCCAGCTGGCATGGGAGTTGAAGTCTGCACATCTTGAAATGGCCCAGATTGAGAAGCACTGTTAAAGGCCTCGTTATAAATTAAGAATATTAGTGGTAGGTTAATCTGTCGGTAATTGACACAAGAGAGTAAACGGTGTAACCGCATGAAGATTTTTCTATAAAAGCTGCCATGGACCTGGAAGCAGTGGAACTCTTATTGCCGGTGTTCTCATTATACAAGGCCAACTTTTTTTTTATAAGCTTTATTGGTTTTTAAAACATAAATCACATAATAGTTGGTTAACAGTGTGTTTGCTTGGTTTACATTTGTAAAGAAAAATAGTTAACAATTGATTTCTATAATTCACAATCCACATGTTCAAACAGATGTTTCTTTTTTTCTTAAATATTCTACAAGACCAACTTTTTGTGCTGTTTAAGGCGGGAAGCCATTCGACAGCTAAATGTGCAGTCCAAAGAACGTTTTAACCTCATCCACCCTCAACTGACTTATCTCCCTTCAGTTTTATTTTTTTAACTAATAGGGATGATTAATAATAACACTTTGAATAGAAAGAATAATGGCCTGCTAGTTTTTGGTCTCACCGCCCTTCCTGTTGTCTGCAGGAGTGTCCCAAATGCCATGTGACCATAGAAAAAGATGGCGGCTGCAACCACATGGTCTGTCGGAACCAGAATTGTAAAGCAGAGTTTTGCTGGGTGTGTCTCGGCCCATGGGAGCCGCATGGATCTGCCTGGTATGTTTAAATAAATGCTTGTGGGGTTTTTGGGGCTGTTGGATGGTTAGGAACATTTTTCTGTAGAAGGAGTGAGCCTCAGCAGATAATTGCTGCATATGGATTATATGTGTATGTATATATGTATATTTGTTTTCTGAGGTTTTCGCGGGTGTTTGTATGTAGGTCTTTGGTTATTCAGGTTTTCTCCCGCGTAAAATGGGAAGTGTCTTGGCGACGTTTCGACGAAGTCCCATTCGTCATCTTCAGGCTGGTGTTTTCAGCTTCGTGCTTCGAGGAGCAATCCTCGAAGCACGAAGCTCCTCGAAGCACGAAGCTGAAAACACCAGCCTGAAGGTGATGAATGGGACTTCGTCGAAATGTTGCCAAGACACTTCCAATTTTACGCGGGAGAAAACCCGAATAACCAAAGACTTACATATGTGTGTGTGTGTGTGTGTGTGTGTGTATAACTCTATATTACTTGTGAGAAGATAGGAACTTGAGAGAAGCCCTAGTCCAGTTTGTCTCAACCTTAGCAATTTTAAGTCATGTGGACTTCAATTCCCAGAATTCCCCAGCCAGTATACGCAAGAGGTTTTAGTGTGAATCATTCAAAATCAGTTTGAGCAAACAGGCAGTTCTCTGCTTAGACTGCATAAACTGAAGAAATATCGTGGGATCGACTCAGCATGGTGTGATTTGAAATCCACTTCTAACTATTTCACAGTGGTTTTTGGCATCCCGAGAAGGGTGCTTTGGACCTGATATGGTTCCTTTTGTTGGCTGGGGAATTCTGGGAATTGAAGTCCACTCACCTTAAAAGTTGTCACGGTTGAGAAATTACTGCTCTAGTCAGCTGTAGGCCCTGAAGGCTAGCAAAGACATCACAAGGGATGTTTGTCCTGTTTACAATAATATGCGAAGAAAGGAAAGGAAAGGAAGAACTTGGACTGACAGATAGATAGAAATAAGAGTAATCGTTTTAGAAATCTACATACTCATAAACCTCTTTCAGGTACAACTGCAACCGCTACAACGAGGATGATGCCAAGGCAGCAAGGGATGCCCAGGAGGTGAGTTCGTCGCTCTTGGCAACCCTCTGCATCAGGAAGCTATTGAGACTGCTTGCTCCTCTCTCTCTTGTTGACCAGATGGAGCACATGGAGTAGGGTTAGCTTCCAGCCTTAAATCCATAACAAGTGGCCAGTTTATTCATTGCTTCCTGACGTCAGAGTTCCGGCTAATTTGTAAAACGAGGGCACACGATGAGCTTTCACGCTTTCACCCTTTCTTTCCTTGAAGCCGTTCTTCTTGAGATGTTTTGCTGTGGGTAGACTTCATACGCCCCTGGATGGTGTTGCTCTTTAGGTGGCTTCTTTCATTCTTTTACATTCTGGCTGCACACACCATCCTTCCTGCCTGGAAGACCTTCCTCTCCTGTGTCTTTGTGGAGAAACCAAGCTGTTAGACTCTTTAGTACTGTGAAAAAGGCCCGTTGTTGTTCCCATTTGTAGATCACCCAATCCGTAAGAACTCTCGGCATTTTATAGATCTTAAAACAGTGGTTCTCAACCTGTGGGTCGGGACCCCATTTGGGGTCGAACGACCATTTCATGGGGGTCGCCAAACCACGCTGTCCGCCATTTTTTTCCCTTTTCCCTAGCTGTCCTACTCCCTCTTATTGGTGGCCACACCCACTTGGGGGTCACCACAACATGGGGAACTGTATTATGGGGTCACGGCATTAGAAAGGTTGAGAACCACTGTCTTAAAACTTTTAATCTCGAAGGCTGTTTCTCTAGGCTGCCGAAAAGCTGGAAGTCTTCTTCAAGATTTGGGGCTACGCAGGGGTCACCTTTTTTCCCCCCCCCATCCACTCGCGCGCCCGCCGTTTTTCAGCCACCCACAAAGAAATACACCCCTATCTAAATAAAATTTGGCCAGCGAGCAAGCAAGCTTGAAAATCTTTCTGAGTCTCTGTGACCTTATGAAATTTGAGCCGCTTAAGGTTATTTGAGTTAATTTGGATTTTGCTGGCAGGGGATGTTGTGTCGGGTGGTATTCCGGGCGGTGGGGGGTGGGGGATCAGATTTGGAGCTTCACCTGGAGAACTTGCTGAATGAGGCAAAGGCTGGGCCCCCTCTGCCCCTGTTTTGCCTTGGGCTCTCTCCTTCCCGCGGGGAGCCCCACAGGATTGCCCTGCTTTAATTCTCGCTTTTCCATCTCGCCTGATGGGGAATGAAACACAGCGCTCGAGAGCCGCCTTGCAGCGATACCTCTTCTACTGCAACCGTTACATGAACCACATGCAGAGCCTGCGCTTCGAGCACAAACTCTACGCCCAGGTCAAGCAGAAGATGGAGGAGATGCAGCAGCACAACATGTCCTGGATCGAGGTCCAGTTCCTGAAAAAAGCGGTCGACGTCCTCTGCCAGTGCCGTGCCACGCTCATGTACACCTACGTCTTTGCCTTCTACCTCAAAAAGAATAATCAATCCATTATCTTTGAGGTAAGAGGCCTGCCCGTGCCCTGGGAATCTCCCGGGATGCTCGGCAGTTCTGTCCACTGCTCTGGGATTTAGTTGGAGAATTGCAGCGCAGATCATACAGGTCCAGCCAGGGTCCTTGGTGCTCTCTGAGCTTGGTGGTTTTCTTGCGGACGTTTCCTTACCCAGACTAGGCAACCTCATCAGTGCTAGAAGAGAATAGGTTGGGAAGAGGAGGGAGAGGACTGTGGGCTTCTTGATGTTTTCCGAGCTTGGTTGTTGTTGTTTTTTGTTTTTGTTTTGCAGACCTTTCATTACCCAAACTAGGTAACCTCATCAGTGCTAGTCCTCCCTCTAGTCTAGCATAGTCAGAGAGCAGAGAAGCACTCCCAGTAACAGCTGCCTTCATAATATAATTGGAAGTGAATCCAGATTTCAGTGGTCGCATAGACTACAATATCATAATATATGCCACAGTACAGATACCACAACTCCTCCCTACCCCAGTCCATTAACACACAATGCCTTGAACCACAAACTTAAGAGCAATTGCATTTGAGGGGTCCTCTCTGAGCTTGATTTGTTGTTGTTGTTGTTGCTGTTGCAGACATTTCATTACCCAACTAGGTAACAAAGAGTTTTGGCACTGACGATGTTATTTAGTTGGGTCACGAAATGTCTGCAGGAAAATCACCAGGCTCAGAGCATCAAGAATCCCACAGTCGTCCTCCTCCTCCTCCTCTTTCTCCTCCTCCTCCCTTCTAGCACTGATGATGTTCCCTAGTTGGGTCATGAAACATCTGCAAGAAAATAGGGTCAGAGAGCACCAAGGATCCCAGAGTCTTTCTCCTCCTCCTCCTCCTCCTCCTTCATCTCCATCTCCATGCAAACCCCACTCCCTTCTAGCACTGATGATGTTCCCTAGTTGGGTCATGAAACGTCTGCAAGAAAACAGGCTCAGAGAGCACCAAGGACCCCTCAGTTCAACCCTGAGCTACAAATATTCTTCTTTATAGGTCCAGCAGGCAACTTTGTACAGGTAATCCTCGACTTAACAACCATTTCCTTTGGCGATGGTTTGAAATTACAATGGCACTGGTTATAAGTCAAGGACTTTCTGTATAACAAACCAAACCTTCTGAATCATGAGGGTGGGAGCTGTTCGGATTTCTGGGGCAGAGGGTGTTTCTCCCAGACAAAAGGCACCTGGACAGAGATGGCATCATTGATACTGTCTAGTCAAATGGATTTGAAGTGCTCTCAGACTGCCTGATTTTACTGGACAGGAAGAAAGTAGGTGGTTCCTCAAATAACCGGGCCTTTTATTTTCAACACTCTGTTAACGTAGTTCTGTTTTTATGCCAAGTATCTTAATCAGATTTAGGAAGACAGATGTTTCCTGATTTCTCTAGAGAAAAGCCCATAGGAGGGAAATACTTTAAGCTTTGAAGAGGTTCCAAAACCGCTCTAATGCCTGCCTGCTAATGGAAAATACTGAACTGACAAGAAGGTTTTTTTTTTTTAAAGAAAAAATTGCTATTCTGTTAAACTCAAAAGAATTACTTTAAGTTTTTATCAGAGTGTTTTGCCTTTTTAGAATAATCAAGCAGATTTGGAGAATGCTACCGAGGTCCTTTCTGGGTACCTGGAACGAGATATATCTCAAGATTCACTGCAGGATATAAAGCAGAAAGTGCAAGATAAATACAGGTAATCCTTGTTTCGGACAGTACGGCTCAAAATATTTATCACTCATCTTGAATTAAGCTACACAAAGGTTGGTTGGCAGGAAAACGTATTCCTCCTGCGGTCACTTTTGATCCAAGCAAATGTTCAAGACAGTTGAAGTGAAAGAAAACCCCAAACATGCAAAACAGAATTAAATTAACGGTTAAAACTTGGGCGAAAGAAGTCACGTTCCTCTCCTGACAGATGGAGGGCCCAGTTCAGCTTCTGAAGGATTGTATTCTATTAAGTCTGGAAGCTGATTGTGAAAATGGCTCCTCCATTGTGCTGAATAAAGCACATTGCGAGGGCCTCGGCAGAAGGATCACTCCTGCAGGTCTTAATCGCTAGATGGGTTTGTAAAGCAGGGTCACTGCCTCTTAACTCGGTATTTCTCAACCGTGGCCACTTCCAAGACATGTGGACCACAACTCCCAGAATTCCCCAGCCAACATGGCTGGCTGGGGAATTGTGGAAGTTGAAGTCCACAAGTGTTAAAGTTGTCAAGCTTAGAGAACCCAGCACTCGAGCAAAATATGGCTGGCCAGGGGATTCTGGGAGTTGAAGTCCACACGTCTTAAAATAGTCACGGTTGAGATATACTGTTTGAACTGCACAGGGACAAGAATTATTTGCACACAACTGGCAAGGCCACCCCCCCCCCCCCTAGTTTCTCAACTCCACCCAAAGGCAAAACCTTGTTGCTCTTAAATGTATTAATGCCCGGAAATGTTTCCGCCTTGGCATCTAAAGGCTCTCGCCTCCCTTTTTCCTTGCAGATACTGCGAGAGTCGACGAAGGGTGTTATTGCAACATGTGCATGAAGGCTATGAAAAGGACCTGTGGGAATATATTGAGGACTGAAAAGTGGCCTGGATAAAACGAACTCTTAAAAGTCTCTTCCCATCTAGAGTGCTCATACCATTAAAACAAAACCCACCCACGCAGACACAGGGAAAAAAAAACAAGGGGCCTATTAACACCGCTGGTCTATAGTACCGGAATTCTGTTTGTTTTTTTTTTCTTTTTGTTAATGGAAAAAAAAATTAAGTAAATTATATTGTAATAAAAAAAGGTAGATAAACCATTGTACAACAGTATTCTAGGTGGCCAGTAAGTGTGATAGGCGCACTAAAAAACAAAAACAGCCCGCCCGACTTTTAACTCGTAAGGTAGCTTCCTTCTCCAAGCTGACTTTTTCTCTCTCCTCCTCTGCATATTACCGATGAAATATAAAACAGTTTCTTGACACTGCTGTACATGTCCGGCCAGCCATTTTGATGTACTTTGGTATGAGATATTTTTTTCCCCTATGCCCCCCTTCCCCTTCCCTCCTGCCCCTCCCCACCCCTCCGTAACAAATACACACCAGTTCATGGGTGTTGAATGTTGTTTGGCTTATTGTAAAGATGATTTGGGGGGGGAAGGGAGGAGGGCAGGGGGAGGAAGGGGCACCAAACAAGGAAAAAACCACACACACACACACACACACACACACACAGAAAACCCTTTGTATATGACTTTTAAAAAAAACAAAAACGAAAAACAAAAGAGGAGAACACAGTATTTTTCAAAATTGTAAATAGCGCATATGCATGGATAAAAAGCAAGCGTGGCACGTGTTTGCATAATGTTTAATTACAAAAAAAAATATTTATTCTTTAAAAACCTTCAAGATGTCTATTTGCCGTGCATTTTTTTTCTTTTTCTTCCCCCCCCCCCAGTTTGCTTTTTAATTTGGAGAGGGGAAATAGGGAGGGGGCAGTGTGTGCTGCTGTAAAGAACTCATTCTCTGGCTCAAACAAGATAAATAGATAGGGGGTGTTTTTTTGGTGGGGGGGTTGTTCCTCTTCTTCCGCCCCCTCCTTGCAACCAGTTGATCCCTTGTTCGGGTGTGTTCCTTGCTGGCAACGGACACCGTCCCTTGGGCACTTCCAGCTTTCTTGGTGTGCGTTTCCCATTTGGAAATCAAAGTGTTGTATAATTCCGGCTGCCTTTTTTTTCTTTCGGCTTCGAACGGCCCCATTTCTCCCCCCCCCCCCGGACCTCGGCCATTTGCCCGTGCAAAAAATCCAATATCTTATTCTGCAACTGGCTCTTCATTCATTCATAGGAAGCTTTGGGCATGTTGGGTTAAAGTGTCTGCGGAACATTCCTTGTTAACGTGTTCAATTTTGGAAAGGATGGGGGCTGCTGGGAAAAACTGTGATTGTTGGCGTGGAAAAAGTGCCTGATGCAGCAAACACTCCCATCTAGTTGCAAGAGTCTGTAGCGGGGTTTCTGAACCTCAGGAATGTTAAAGAGAAGTGGACTTCAATTCCCAGAATTCTGGGACTTGAAGTTCACACCTCTTACCGTCGCTGAGGTGAAAAACTTTCTGGAGCCATTGGGTGTTTTTTTTTTTTTTTTCCTGAATGAGGACTAAATCATGAATATCATACGATACATTTATAGTCTCATATTTTTTTGTAATAAAAGTTATCTTCAAGCACCGTTTGGAAGCTGTTTATTACTGTATTGGAGCTTCTTGTAGTGAGTTTTCCCAGCCCACTTATATGGCAGTATTTCTACTTTCAAATTTAGGGATGGGTGGGTGGGGGGAGGAGGCTGGATGTACCCAAAAGTCTAGCTCAGGGGTCTTCAAACCTGGCCCTTTGGTGACTTGTGGACTTCAATTCCCAGAATTCCTCAGCCAGGCACGCTGGCGGAGGAATTTTGGAAGTCTACAAGTCATCAAAGGGCCATGTTTGAAGACCCCTGGTCTAGCTTATTTCCTAAAGGGCTGCTTTCTCCCCTCTTTTTTTTAAAGAAACTATTGTTAAGTTTCCAAGGATTTGTTCAGCTAATTCCATGCGTGCCTGTGACACTTGTAGTTGTGTGTTAGGGACAGCCCGCTCGCCTACCCCCTGGCAAATTATTTCTATAGTTGCAGGAGGTGTAGGGTTGAGAGACTCCGTTCCCCTGTTTTGGCAGCTCAGCTTTGCATCTGATGAGACTCAAGACCTGGTTTTGGTTTACCTGGAGAGTAAACCAAATCATCTCCTTCAGAATAAGGGAGGGGGGGAGAGAGAGAAAGTTGTTTTTGCTTCGTGACTTCCTACTTGGAATGAAAGTTTGGAATTGGTCAACGGTTTTGGAAAGATGCAACTAATCCTTTCCAGAATGTGTGCATTCAAGGGCAGCACGCCTGTTGCTTGAACGGTGAGGTTTCCTGCCATTCTCCCGGCTTCATCTTTGCATGCTCCCAATAAGACATGACAAAGTGCTTCCAATCCAGTTAAGTGCGGGTGTGTGTGCGTTTTGTGTTGATATATATATATTTTTTAAACCGGCCCTGCTTGGAACGAGGTTGATGGAACAAGTGGTCCGTTCCTTGGAGGGCCTCATGGAATAAACCCATTCTGTTCCCTGGGTGCGTCTCACGTTCGGCTCTTTTTCTCAATATTTTGCCATTGCTCCTGTATTATTAAACAATATTGTTAGTTTTTAACAAAATGTATATAGAAGCATTGTATCGCTGCATCTTCTACTTCAGGAGCTCATACCCTGTGTGTTCATGTGGGGTCAGGAGGGGAGCATCTTAAAATTGGGATTTGCAAATCATTTAAATCAGTATTTTTTCAACTGTAGCAACTTAAAGATGGGGGCTGGGGAATTCTGGGAGTTGAAGTCCCCTCATCTTCAAGTTGCTGAGAAACACTGTTATATAGGCTTACCTCTAGACCTATACTCCTTCCTTGCTTTCCTATCCTTTAGAAAACAAAGCAAATAGTATCTTTTTTTTTTTAAAGGAAATTTTCGGCTACTTTTAAACCTTGGTTGGTGCAATCTATGGAAATTATGGCTTGTGCTGCCATAACTATGGACAGATGGAGTGAGGGACCTCTAAGACACGTCAGACGGGTGATCCTGGCTTTTATCTCACGCTCATTCTACCTTATTGAAGTGGCTGCCTTTGGGTTTTATCGCTAGTGTTATGTATCAAAACTGTCTTTTAAGTTTTCAGAACCATTTAACTCAAGGGTCGTAGTACAACTGCTGTATTAGAAATCATTTATTGTGTGAGACAAAGAGTAGTGTTCTTTGGCAAACTCCCATGTATAGAGGGCTCCTGTAATCCAGCATATAAGAGAGATGGTTAAGATGAGCGGACTGGGCTATGACCGAAGGCTTGTAAGTTTCTTTTTTATTTTCTTTCTTTTTCTTTCTTTTTTTCTTCCCTCCATCTTAAAAGAGCACCTCATGCTGTGGAATTAACTGTTCTTAGACTTCATTGTAACTGGCGGACTGTTCCATGTTAAGGCTAATCAGAGGGAGAAACTGCGTTCCTAATTCTAATAAACTTTTATTTTGTTATTTCATTTGTAATTTTTTTTTTTGAGTGTTCTCTTGCAGTGATTTTGCATCTTCTTTACACCTTAGGGGAAACACCTTGGGCAAGTCAACAGCTGGAAAACACCAGCCAGATGTTAGTCCTGGTTGTGATGTATAGCTTTTCAGATGCAGCCTAATCTGCCTTTTGCCGTAAGCCCAAAGTCACATCACTTCCTCTGTCTTAACGTGATTTTGGTAGCCCCCCCCCCCGCCATATGAAATTCAGAATAACATATCTGACTTTTCCTTTAGTATTACTACAATCTTGACTAAACCAGTGTTTCTTCCAGGGGTTCTAAAAGACCCAAAGAATCCTCTTTACTCGGGGAGGGGGGAGGCAGAATTATTTGCCAGTCTGTGTTGAAAAATAAACCAGTATTAAAATCCCATCAAACAATTGTGAAAAGTTGGTGGCAAATGTATCCGTTTTAATTTTTAATATAGTAAATATTGACAGATAACAACCCGTACAGACACACTTTTTGGGTCCTGTATAATTTTAAAAGTTGTAGTGCAGCGGTTCTCAACCTATGGGTCGCGACCCCATTTGGGGTCAATCGACCACTTTTCGGGGGTCGCCAAAGGCGGCGATCCGCCATTTTGTCCCCTCCGGGGGCGCCGCCGCGCATGCACATGCGCACCGCGCATGCACACCGCGCATGGGGGCGCCACGCCTCCAGGAGGGCTGTCACGCATGCGCACCGCGTGGGGGGCGCCCGCATGCGCGCCGCGCACCGGGGGGCCCACCCCATGCGCGCCGCGCATGCGCATAGCGTTTGTGTGGCGGGGGTCGCCGTCACACAAACGTTGAGAAACGCTGTTGTAGTGGGTCCTAAGAGGGGGAAAAAAAAAATCAAACAGCAAGCCAGACAAAAATTAGCCCAAGCTTTGATCAGTGCCCTTCAGACAATGATGGAACAGAAGTTTCAGCAATTAAATCATTACAATACAGCTTATGGCTTCATTTTATACATTTTATTATTTATACATCAGAACTTCTTGCTCTTAAGATTTTGCCTCTAGAGTGAGGCAACAAGTAACTTAGTTACCCTTGTCTAAAATCTCTTCCCTGCAAAACCTGTTGTAAACAACTCTATGCAAAGCCAGCCCGACCTATAACAACCCTCCAGTGACTTTGGGTGGGAAAAAAATCTAATGACTAACAATGTGAAGTCCGCTTGTTGCAAGTTCAGAAAACTTATATTTTCTAGCTGTCACCACCTAAGAGGAATTCTCAAAGCCCATAAAATCTTTTACACCAGCACTGAAAGAATCTGAAGATCCCAGTGAATCAGGTCAGTGTTCAGTGAAAAGACCTGGATTCTTAACTTCTCTTGTGTTCTGCTGTAATGGTGTTCAAGTTTAAAAGCTGCACTTGAATATTTTTAATTTTCAACAGCTAGCAAATTTAACCTTGCCAACGTGCTCCATATTGTCCAGGCCTGTTCCCATAGAAACGGCAGCATTTTCTTGTGCTGATCAGAATATTGTTTTCACCTTCCTTACACATTTGAACATTTTTAATCACTTTATTAAATGTTAAACTCAAGTACAATTTTGCAGTGGGTGTGTTGAACACGAGCCACTGAACAACACAACCAGGCTAATTTTTTTTTTACTCCTCCCCCTTTTTTTAACAGCGATTACGTAATGGTAATCTTCTATTATTTACATTTCTCCCCCTTATTCTTCTTTAGAATATTTGTCCTTATTGCCCCGTAGTTTCTTATTTACATTTTTCTTCCTTCATACTCCTTACTAAGAATAATTCATATTATTATTATTATACCTTATTATACACATATTTTCACTTTTGACCTTTCCATATTTATTCTCCTCTATTATTTCTAGTCTCCCACCAGTCATACCACTTGTTCTATGTTAGATAGTACTCTGTGTCTTCCTTTTCTTTTATCTCTTTTGTTAATTTGTCCATCTCAGCACAGTCCAGGATTTTTCTTATCACTTCTTCCTCTGATGGTATATTCTCATTTTTCCAGCACTGTGCATATGCTATTCTTGCCGCCGTTATTATATATAAAATTAAGTGCCATATTTCTTTACTATATTTTCTGTTTAAAATACCCAGCAAAAAGATCTCTGGTTTCCAGTCTACGGGTTGGTTTATTATTTCTTCAATTCATCTTCTTATTGTAGTCCAATATTTTTTCGCAACTGGGCATGTCCACCATAAATGATATGTTCCATGTACTTTTTTACATTTCCAGCATACAACCAAACTAATTAATACTCATTGTAGCAGAGAGTTTTTCCTGCATCCTGGGTAAATAAGTTTCATTAAATTCTGCTTAAGGATGGAGGTTTAAAATTAAACCTAGGGGAATAGAGGTTAAGTATGGAGGAAGAGATTGAGCACTTCATCCTAGTTACGCAAGCTCTCCTTTGAACTGTGGCCTACTTAAAGCTTAAATGACGTCAACATATTGAGAGCTATAAATTTTTGCCCGACTGCCAGGATGCTTAATTGCTGGGCATCCTAAGGAATAAACCTGAATGGCTTGTTCAGCTTCATTGAACTTGCTGTTTTAACTTTTATACCAGACTATGCAAACCCACACGAAAGGGCCACGTAAGACAGACTTTCTCAATCCGGGAAACTGGGTAGACTTGGACCACAGTTCCCCAGTTGGCATGCATGCATTCATCTTAAAGTTGCTGAGGTTGAGAAATACGGCCCTAATTGGATATGGCACTACCTGGACACAGCAGAATAGAGAAGAAAGAATAGAAAATAGAAATTGAGCGACTGCGGCAAAAGAGAGCGAAGATAATACCAATAGTCATAGGTGCTTTGGGTGCAATCCCCAAACACCTGGAGCACCACTTGACCACCATCAGCACAGACAAGATCATCATCGGTCAACTGCAAAAGGCAGCTTTACTTGGAACAGCTTATATCAGGGGTCTTCCAACTTGGCCCTGTTATGACTTGTGGACTTCAACTTCCAGAATTCCTCAGCCAATGTGGTTGAGGAATTCTGGGAGTTGAAGTCCACAAGTCATAAAAGGGCCAAGTTGGAAGACCCCTGGCTTATATCCTCAGATGAGACCTTTAACACCATCAAACATGCACATCTGCCTATCCCAGGTCCTTGGGAAGGACTCGGTAGGTGGATAAAAATATACCAAATCCAGACTAAACACCTAGTTGACTTCAATCAAACATAAAAAAAAAAAGCCCTCCAGACGGAGTGATCTCCAAAAAGGGCTATTCTAAGACTTTTCAGGGTGAAAAAATTAGGAAACCGGCTCCATAAGAATTAAACACTGTTGAGAAAGACTGTTAGTTGTGCAGCTCAACCTCAGCAACTTTAAAGATACGGATTTCAACTCCCGATTTACCGGTTGCGGAATTCTGGGAGTTGAAGCCCACCTATCTCAAAAGTTGCCAAGTGTGCAAAAGTGATATATAAGGGCATCCCAATGTTAGCGGCTTTAGCAGCTCTTTGCAGAAATCTGGAAATCCCAGTGCAATTTTTAATAAAAGTATTTAAAAAAAAAAAAAAAGCAACACCGCTGGAATATGCAAGGATTTTAGACCGCCCTGGTGGAGCCATAAAAATGCAAAATAAGCCACAGAGGAAAACTCAGTCCCTCAAACTAGCAGGATCCCAAAAAAAGGGCAAGGCAAATGATTTCTATCTGCAAGGCAGATTCTTGATAATTTATTTCTTCCCCCCCCCTCTGGCTCTTTAAAATAGTTCGCTCCCCGCTTATTGTCGCGGGCCACCAATCTCGGTGGGCGAGTCTAAGTGTCAAAAATGGGGGGGGGAGAGAATCTGAAGAAGCCAGCCAAATTCTGGAACCTCATCCCTTCCTCGAGCCCTCCCTAATCCCGGCCGAGTCTCGTGACGTCACTTCCGTTCTCTCCACACGACGCCACAGCCCGCTTCAGGGTTGGAGTTTAGAGGGACCGGAAGCTCTGTTACCGTGGCAACAAGATACCCGGGCGCCCTTTCCGTCGATTACTTCCGGGGTGGCTGGTCACCTAGGCAACGGACAGCTGGCGGAGGCTTGCTGGGAGCTGAGGCGCCATGGCGGAGGTGACGGCTCGGCCGGTGAGCGGGACTTCCCACCTGTTGCGCCTCTTTCCCCTTCTGAGAGCCGAGGGAGGGCCCTGGAGGGACGGGACCCTTCTGGCCAGGCCTTCCGTGGCCTCGTGGCGCTTCGCCCTTCCTCCCACCGTCTTCTTGGGGTGCCTCACCCACCAGGCCCGGCCCTGCTGGGGTCGGGGTGGTTCTGGGTCGGTGGGAACCCAAACAGTTGTGGTTTACAATAGAATAACAGAATTGGAAGGGACCTCGGAGGTCTTCTAGTCCAACCCCCTGCTTAGGCTTCTTAGCTATGGACCATGGTTTAGTGGCCTGTTGTGCCAGGTCGGCCCATTGTGGCTTGTCCAGCAAACCGTGGTTAGGCAGATTAGGGCTTATGTGGGGTGCAGTAAGCCGGGGGAGGGGGGATTTTATGGATTTTATGGTTGCTGGAACTGTAACTAGCTGGAAGCTCCCCACCTGGACAAATTCCCTCCCTTTTTTTTTATTGAAAAGTTTTATAAAAGTTACAATATACACCCCAAAGCCCACCCACCCTAACCCCCCCTCTCCCACCCCCACCCCCCAGAGCTGAGTACAGGGTTACAAACATAATAATCATACTCTAACTAACATTAACCAACTATATAAATAACCAAGTCCATAATGCGCTTTAACTCCCCCTTAACATAAATATAAACAAATTAAAAGTAAACATAATAATATAAACAAGTTAATATCCTAATTATTAAACAATACAATATCCAAATTGTTAAACAATACTAATACTAATAATAATAATAAAACTAATAAAAATTCTACTATAATAAACTATTATTAATAATAATAATACTCTAAAATTTACTCATAAACTAGATGGAATTTTTTAGTCCCATATTTATTCTGAATATAATCTATCCATCTTCTCCAGAGACAAATTCCCTCCCTTGAAGGCCTTTCTATGTAAAAAGGGATACAGCTATTCCTTGACTTCCAACCGTCCATTTAGTGACTGTTCAAAGTTACAACGGCACTGAAAAAAAGTGAGTCATGACCCTTTTTCACCCTTAACGACCGTTGCAGCATCCCCGTTGGTCACGTGACCAAAATTCAGATGCTCGGCAACCGGCTCATATTTATGACAGTTTGTATTGTCCCAGGATCATGTGATCACCTCTTGTGACTTTCTGACAAAGTCAATGGGGAAGCCAGATTCACTTAACAGCCCTGTTACTAACTTAACTGCACCGGTTCATTTAGCAACAGTGGCAAGAAAGGTCGTGAAATGGGGCAAAACTGACTTAACACACGTCTTGCTTAACAACATAAATTTTGGGCTCAGTTGTGGCCGTAAGCCAAGGATTACCTGTACGGTCAGAATAATGGAGGGACGAAAAGCAGAGCCAAAGGTCCATGGGGGAAAAGTTGTGGTTATTTTACTTATATTGTACGTTGTTAGGTTTAGTCATGAAATGTGATAACTGAAAAGTCATGCCTTCATAGTAAAGGTGGACTTTGGGGCAGATACCCGAAAAGAAGCATGAACCTTAGCAGCCTCTAGAAATTTTGCAACTTTTGTAGTTTCCTGAAGCCCACTGGCCATCTGAGTAGATTTTGGTAATTCACCAAAGGACTATGGCAGTGGTGGCAAACCTATGGTATGTGTGGCAACTGTCCCTCTTCAACCAGCTGCCTGCTAACTTGCCGAGGTCCCACGTGGCCAGATGCATTCCAGCATGGCTAGTTTCCCTCCCTCCCATCCCCTCCCTCCTGGCCTCACATGCTCTCCTTTTCCTGGGCAGGACCCACGGCATCACCTCCTCAGCTGTCAGCCAGCCAGCCAGCTCAGAGGCGGCTTCTCTGAACTGCTGGGGGCAGGCTGTGGAGCCCCAGAGTGCGCTGGTTGAGGGGTTGGCAGGCTGTGGCTGCTGATAGATACTGTTGGCCCCCATGTGCTCACTGGCCTCTGTGTGTGGGGGCCGATGGTGTCAGGCAGCAGCCACCCCGGCCCCTGCTTTGCCTTGCCCTGCAACAATGGCACCCCCGCCCTGCCTCGCCTTGCCTCGCCTCACCCCACAGGATGAGCCTCCTGCCCACCGCCCCACCTGCCAGAGACCCCCTGGATCTCTCCCAACCCTGCCCAGCCCCCACAGGTGTCCCTCCCCATGAGCAACATAGAGGTGACCACGCCCACTTTGGCCACACCCATCTAGTCTGTCATGACCACTGTAGCCACGCCCACCCTGTGGGCCACGCCCACCTGGCACCTGGCTCCTGGCTCCAACACTGGAAGTTTTTAAGAAGAGACTGGAGAGCCATTTGTCCGAAATGGTGTAGGGTTTCCTGCCTGAGCAGGGGGTTGGACTAGATGACCTCCAAGGTTCCTTCCAACTTTACTACTATTACTAATAAATAAGTGGGTTTTGGGTTGCAGTTTGGGCACTTGGTCTCTAAAAGGTTCGCCATCACACGACTATGGTATTTTACATTGGCATGCTGTATTGATTTTCCACATCTGAGATCTTTTACTAGTTCCTGTTTGGCTGAACAAGTTGTGTTTTTTTTTAAAAAAGAGCCACAGCCTAAGTTTGTAATCTAAAAGGCAGTGTGTAAGAATAAAAAGAAGGAAACAGGAGAAAAATAAGCATATTATGCTCTGACGTTTTATAAGGTGGAATAATAAGACGATGATATAAAGTGAAAAAGACATAGAGTGGGCCATGAGAAGGAAAAGTATAGACCTCAGATACCATTTCTAAATTTTACATAATTTTCCGTTTTTCCCACTATCTGATGTAATGGTTGCTGGATAATCACCCAAAAATGCTAACAAAAAATCAGTGGCTTTCCTATTGTAGTACCCAGAAGGGTGGTGATAATCTTTTTATTGTTTCTCTGTGCTCAGTTCTGTAAAATAGAATTTTTAAAAAATCTTCCTTCCCTCCCTCCCTCAGTAGTGTTTCAAAAAATATACAATATATAATATTATAATCCATTCTACAATTTCAGAAGTTTTACATTTCACTCTGCTGTGAATAAAATCCAGGCCTTATTAAAGACAAGATCACACACACACACAAAATCATCTGTACCTTTGCAGATTTTAAACTATGCTTTCTGTTTATGGCAACCTGGTTTAATAAGGAATTTGTTAAAATATTTTTTTAGTATTTCTCTTCAAAAGACATGACTCATGGATGTGCCTTTTTTTCTTTTGATGATCACAGTTGGAGAGTGTACTTAAAATCTTGGTTCTTTATGAACACGTTCCAGGATTTTTAATAGTTCTTTTAATAAAAGCTCTAGCACAGCATGCTGTCTTTGGCAAAAGAATTACAATGTAGGAGCCAACTGATTATCTATTCTGCTTGACTATATTTGGTGCTACAATAGGAAAGTTTGACGTTTTAATTGGAGTAAGATTTTTAGACTGAATTTTTCACCGGAACGCCATTCTCATTCAGCACAGTTAACTCTGCATCTCAAGGTATTATGGAAAAAGCTTCAAACTGGTTTTAAAAATCTCTCTGTTCATTTGTTCTGTACTATCTTTGAGTGCTGTTAAAGTTGGAAGTGCTTAACAGCAATGATTCTAAAAAACCTGAAATTTAAATATAAAGATTTCTCTCTGAGCAGTGAAGCACAGGGGCTATAAGAAATCAAAGCAACAGTTTACCTAAACAAAGCTTATTCTTGTTTCCAGAGTTCTATCCAACAGTTTATCTAAACAAAGCTTATTCTTGTTTCCAGAGTTCTATCCTTTTGTGTGAATTCTAAACTATTTTGAAATTGTCTGTCTGTCTTTCTGTCTATATCAGGGGTAGGCAACCTCGGCTCTTTTATGACTCATGGACTTCAACTCCCAGAATTGGAGTTGAAGTCCATGAGTCATAAAAGAGCCGAGATTGCCTACCCCTGCCCTAGTCTATATCCAGTGCTTTTTTTTTCTAAAAAAAAAGGTGCCGGAATTCATATGTCATACAACCCGCCTTGCCTACCCTACAAGGTTCCATCCAGAAAAGGTGCTGGAATTCCGTTCTGGGCGTTCTATGAGAAAAAAAGCCCTGTCTATATCAATCAATATCAATCAATCAATCATTAAGTTAATCACCAATGAATATATCTTATAAAACAGGATCAAACCATAGCGGCATATAAAGCCTTACAAAACTTCACATTTTAGAATAATTTGGGAAACATCCTTTAAATGTTTACTATTGGTTATAGATTTTTATCCCATTCTTTTTATACATAATTCAAGGAAGTGAACATTCATACTATTCAGGCCCCTTTTTCCTCCAACAAGAATACTCCTGTGAGGTCGGCTATACTGACAGTGAGTGACTGGCTTTCATGCCTAAGGCAGGACTAGAATTCACAGTCTCCTGATGTTATGCTAGCATCTTACCCACCACACCAAACTAGGCCTCTAGAGAATCTTAAAAGAAAGATGGAGTTGCTGTCAGCTAAAATCATCCAGGAAAAATAATGTCATAAGCAGCGAAACCCAACTGAAACAGCCCTGCTATGGGGTCCTCAGCAAGAAATCCACATGAAGGCATCTAAACAGAATCTCAGGCACCCAGCAAGTTGGTGGGAGACTTGTAAATGTAGGCCCCGTTTCCTTTTTACATTCATGTGCAAGGATGAACTTTTCTTTGAAGAGAATCCATCCACTCCCTCAACTGCCTACTTTTAAGACTGCCTTAAGGTGCTGTCTCAAACAACACAGGATTTTGCTGGAAGTCAGTCTTTGTAGACCACAAATACCTTTGGAGTACTTGAAGTTGCTTTTGTGGTTGACAAGGTGTATTCCATATAACTGGGTTTTTATTAGGTAAACGTATATATCACCTAGAAACGTAGCTGATGGAGCCTCTGTTGTTTGACATGGGGGTAGAGAGTGGGGCTTATTTACTGGAAGTTCAGGGCTAAGGCTAAATCAGTGGAAAAGAAAAAAAATACTTTCCTATTTGCTTTGTTCTCTTGATTTAGTGACGTCGCTGCCTATGATTAATGCCACTATTTCTTCTCGAAATGGCCATGTTTCAGCTGAATGCTGAGTCTACAAAGGAAGACTGGCTCACAGAGAGATTAGCGACTTTTTTATGCTTTGCTTTGAACCTAATCAGCAGTTCTGCCCCTTCTTATCCCTGGTGTATCTTCAGCCTTCGGAGGAGAACAGAAGAGGTTTAAAAAGCAATATGTACTTGCTAAAAAGGGGCGACTCAGCATCTTACACTGTTCTTAAGATGTGTGTATACATTCCCAATTTCCAAAAGGGTAGCTGAATTAAGTTGTTGCAGCAAAAACAAGGAAGTATCTGAAGGCACCTTAATGTCTAATGATTATATTGTGTGATGATATATACAAGATGTTGTTCTGAGTATAGATGATTGATAGGAAGGGGAAGAACTGTAACCAATGAAATCAGAGTGAATGAAATGCAGGAAATATTGGCTGTGACAATTACCTTCTTAATTAAGTAATTATCACTCCCTGTGTTGTCTGCATTTCATTTATCTGATCTCATTTTTATCCTCCTTGATGAGTGTTTATAGAAACCTAGAATGACACTTTGTATATTTAATTAAATAGTTGGCAGTTGATTTAGCTGCTCTACATTTATAAATTTCACAAGGAACTTGGTTGTGTGTGTATTTATGAATGTGTGTGTGTGTGTGTGCCGGAGACAAATTCCTTGTGTATCCAATCACACTTGGCCAATAAAGAATCCTATCCATTATTCTAGTCTAGTCTATCTAGTCTAGTCCAGTCCATATATGCATACACACAAACACACACAGACAGACACTAAAGCAGAAATGACTTCTATTCTCCACAATAAAAAAAAACAACTTTTCAGGGTTTTTTTTTTCATACCATTGCTGTTGGCAGCCACCAGGCAAGTAAGAACAGTATTTCACATTTAAAAACTCTGCATCTCACAATGTTCAGATTTCATAATAACAGAGGGAAGATAGCAAGCAGAAGAGAAGGGAATTAAACTATTATATTGCTAATGCTAGCTAATCTGTTAATACCCAGCTGATTATCAGCAATTTTTTTGTTAATAAAATACCTTCCCTCTAAGAATATAGTTGTGTTTGGAAGGGGAGTTATTTTGAAAAAAGGAAACATAAAAGTGGTAAGATGGCAAAATTGGATACAATTTGTAGCATAGTTCAGTTACTGTAGTTCAAAGAGTTTCCATCTCCCAGAAACAAAATTCAAATCTGGAAGATTTAGAATAGACAAGATAAAATATAGAATGCCATTTGTGTTTTGAATTCGCAAGAGTGAAAGAGGGGCTTTGAGTTAAATAACTTTTAAAAAGCATCAGAATTCAAGTATAATAGCTAAATCGAACCTTTGTGTCCAGAGGCAGTAGTAGTACAATACATTTGAATTCTCAGTTGTAACAAAAAATAATCCCGAGAATGGGCTGTTGGCTTTTCTCCTCTTTAAACCTGGAACTCAAGGAGTGTGAATGAGGTGATTTCTTTTTAAGTTTTTAATTCTGACATTTTCTACTTTTTTATATTATTTCAGACTGCATCAGCAGCAGCAGAACTTCCCAGAGCCAGATCAGGAAGAGGTTTGTTCTGATTTATATCTCTGTAGTTATTTTAGCCATTTTAACTACGATCTCCAAAGTATTCACTTGTCAGCATGTGCAGAAAACACTTCCCTTTAATTTAATTTAATCTTGCCCCACCTTTTAAGACTAGAGGTCCCTTCCAGCCCTCGGATTCTATCATTCTGCCCCACCCTTGGAGACTTTCCCAGTCATCTGATGGGCAGTTCTGTTGAGTGCTTAATTCAAGCTTGATTCTGCGATGATAATTGGGTGAGGCAAAATGTTGTCACTTCTTCTCCTTTATTATGACGGTGAGCTCCCAGTCAGAGCCTGGTTTAGGACAGCCCACTCCCTTTTGGAGAGAGGACAACAGATAGATTTCCTGCATAGCTGCTTGGACCAGTTTGCACGGCCTGTTGTCAATAAAATCACTCAGATTTGCCAGTCTCTTAACTCTTTACGGCAGTGGTTCTCAACCTTTTTAATGCCGCGACCCCCAACCGGTCGTAAGTCGAGGACTACTCAACCGGTCGTAAGTCGAGGACTACTCAACTGGTGCAGCACCGTTTGCAGAATGGGGCTTTTGGCGGGCTCAGCAGGGCAGAGACAGCCTGGACCATTCCTATTGGCTTTGGAAAGCCAATAGAATTAGACTCTATTCAAGAGAGTCTATTCGATTGGCTTTCAAAAGCCAATAGAATAAAAGGGAGTAGCACAGCTAAGGAAAAGGGGGAAAAAATGGCGGACTGCGTTGTTTGGAGACCCCCGTGAAATGGTCGTTTGACCCCAAATGGGGTCCCGACCCACAGGTTGAGAACCACTGATTTACGGGCAGAATCCGATGCGATCCCAGGATTTGGTTCTCTCCTTTTTGCTGTTTAACATTTAAAAGAAGCCACTAGGAAAGGTAATCTGTACTTAATTTGGAATAAAATATGTGGGAACTTCCACATAGCACCTCCCCCCCGTATATATCCTCTAATAATGACAGAGATGTATAGCTTTGGTTTCACATATCTTATTCAGAATATTGCTTATATAAATGAGTGAGGTGGAGCTGGGGGTTGATCATTTAATCTCAGAATACCTAGCCGTATGATTCTGAACTATTTAACCCTTGGTTTTGTGGGTTAATCCTTTTTTTTTATTAAAAGTTTTATAAATTTATTACAATATAAACCCCCCACCCCATCCTCCCTCCCCCACTTCCCAGAGCTGATTACAGGGTAAAATAAAATAATAAACAAATGTAATCCAACTAACATAAACCAACTATACTATCAATCAAAACCATAAGATACTTTAACTCCTTCTCAATACAAATACTAACAAATTAAGTCAAAAATAATAATATAATTAAAACTATTAATAATTATCTAAAATCTACTCAAAAGCAAGATAATACTTTTCAACTTCATATTTCTTCTGAATATAATCAATCCATCTTCTCCAAACCCTAATATATCTTTCTTGTGAATGGTCCTTCAAATAGGCGGAGATCTTCACCATATCTGCTAAATTAGACACTTTAAGTATCCATTCTTCCAAAGTAGGCAACAAATTTTTCTTCCAATATTGCCCCACCAATAATCTTGCAGGTTTTGTGGGTTAATCTTAATATGTGGTATTTTGGTTGTCATTGCTGGTACGGTTTTACAGCCATTTATCCACTGAAGTCCTTAACTTTAAAGGTCTTGCATTACTCACAGTGCTGATGTTACCTAATTGCCCTTCCAGTATATTAAAGATGATTTTTTAAAAATGAAGAATTTACTAAGTCTCCTAATTAGATGGGTTTACTGAGTGATATAATGCAGTACTGCCTGTTTTATCCCTTCATAATGTATCACCTCAGAAGAGCTGGCAGGGTCATTTATTCGTTTGAAGCTCAATAACTTGCCTTATGCACTGTTTCCAAGCAGGCAAAGAAGAACGGAGGAAAGCTCTCTTTCTGGAATTTATGAGTAATGCAAAGGCGGTTGAGTATTAAGAATAAACTTCCTCCCTTTAAAATAATTTAAATCAGATGTAGTAGGGGGAGAAAAAAAGGATCCGGCTGTTATAACGTTTTGCAGCTTAGCAGCGGCAAGAGCAAATAACTGTGGCTGAAATAGTTTACTGGAAACTGTACTGGTTGGAAGTAAACTTGGGAAATTTACCAGTCCACTCTATCTTCTGAGCATTTGTGGCCTAGAATTTAACTGGAACCAACTTCTGTAAAGCTTCGGATCACTTGTAGTCCATTTTTCCTTGCTTTAAGCCATCCTGTACTTCGACGGCCATAGTCAGCCAGTTTCCAATAAGCAATGGAGGAAGCTGGGTCTGCTTAAACACTGCGTGATTCAGTTAATTTCAGTGATTCACTGAACAATCGTGGGGGGAAAAAGATCATAAAATCGGGTGCCGCTCACTTAAGAACTCCAGAAGCTGTGAATGATCCAACGTTGGAAGTTTTTAAGAAGAGACTGGACAGCCATTTGTCTGAAATGGGATAGGGCCGTGGTGGCGAAGCTATGGCATACGTGCCACAGGTGGCACACAGAGCCCTCTCTACCCACGCCATCGCTCCAGTCCTTCAGCTGGGTTTTATAAAACCTTTTTTGCTTTAGGCCTCTGCCGCCATGTGCAAAAAAAAAAAGGTTCAATCAATCAATTTCAACTTCTCGTGGGGAAAAAAATGATCTCGCAAAGTTGGAATTGATTGATTGAACTTTTTAGTCCCACCCAGTCTGCCGTTATCACCGTAGTCACACCCACCCATTGGGCCACACCCACCTGGCACTCGACGATGCATAAGTGGGTTTTGGGTTGCAGTTTGGGCACTCGGTCTCTGAAAGGTTCACCATCACAGGTATAGGGTTTCTTGCCTGAGCAGGGGGTTGGACTAGATGACCTCTAAGGTACCTTCTGACATCATCATCATCTCCATCATCATCAGCAGCATCATCATTATTATGGATCATCGCACAGTCAGCCAGATGTTCAGACTGGATTTGGCATTTTGTCTACCTATCGAGTCCTTACCCAGGACCTGGGATAGGAGATGTGGATGTTTGATGGTATTACAGATATCGTCGCAGGATGGAAGCGGTTCCTAGTAAGGCCGCCTTTTGCAATTGACTAATAGCGAATTTGTCAATGCCAATGGTGTTCAAGTGGTGCTCCAGTTGTTTTGGGATTGCACCCAAGGCGCCTATGACTATTGGTACTACCCTTGCTTGCTTTTGCCACAGTCTTTCATCATCATCATCATCATCATCATCATTATTATTATTATTATTATTATTATTATTAACTGTCTTGGCTTAGCAAGGGAAATTCTGGTCCCAACTGTAGTTCTAAGTTGCGGACTGTCTGTAATGGCATCATTGCTACTACATGAGTGTAGTAAATCTATTGAGAAAAGCAAAGTACAGCATCTGCAACTTGCCATCTTGGCTCAGTTGCCTCTTTCCTTGCCTGCCTCTGCTAAAAAAAACGGCACTGCCGTTCTGCTGTTTATTTCCTTGCTGGTTATTTTGCGGAGAGAAAAGATGAATGTAACAGAGCAGCAGGAGAACACAGGAGAGTACCATTAGACGGTGACATTATCCATTCAGACTGCCATAAAAGTCTGTGAACAGTTTCAGAGGCAGCGAAAGAATCAGCTGGAAGGATCCTGGTTTTTAGGCAGATTCATCACAGGCTTTTTAACCATACAGAAGCAGAAGATTAAATGGCATGGCTGGTTTGAATTTTTCTCTTGTTGAAAGAGAGCAAAGTAAATTTTTTTCTGATGGAATAAGGTTGGGGTAGATGGAATTTCCTGCTGGGCCAATGCAGAGCTGATAGATGATTATTTATGAGAATGCCTTTTCCTTTGGCTGTGCTTTTTTGGTCATACGTTTCCAGAGCTGCATTTCGTAGCATTCTCCACATCCAACATGTAGCACCCCAGGAGTTTTGAAGCATGCCAGCTCTGACTTCAAAAGGCCCAACGGTGATCGGGGATTTTAACTGCTACTGCTTTTGTCTGCGAGATTGCAGCACAACAAAAAAGTTTCTGTTTTAAGACCCTCCGGACCTGAGGGGTAGAGCTTGCCTGTTTTATAACTCTACTTCAGTGGAAAGATTAAGACAGTGGCAGAATTTATTTCCGTGGAAAACAAATACTGTACGCTTCACAGACTGGATTGTATACTTGGAGGTTTAGGTTGCCACACAAGTCTTATGAAAGCTGATTAACTTTGGGAGACTTTGTAAGAATAACTGTTCAAGATAGGAAGTTTTAAATTTGTTTTAATACTACTGGAATACTCAGACCTAAAGAAGAAGAAAATCAAGGTATAATCCTACATGAAAATCCTGTTCTCCCTCCCACACACATTCTGTTTTGAAACTGTTTAAATGCTTTGTATGCTCTGTGTTCTGCCAGAGTAAAAGGGCTTTATCATTGCTTTTATTGGCTTTGGTTTAATGAGTTGTGTGAGCTAAGCCCTCGTCAGATTGAAGTGATTCCTCTAGCAAATGGGATAGCACTTAACTGTAAGACCGCTGCACAGTTCGGTTTCAGCCATTTTGATACCTGCAAATGCTGCTGTCAGTGTAGCTACAGCTAGCTCTCAGCTTATGCCACAACTGGGACCAGGATTTGCACCGCTAAGCGAGGCGGTTGTTCCACGAATGGCATCTGATCTTACGACCTGTTTTTGCCCCAGCTGCTAAACAAAGGACTGCAGTTGTTAATTGAAACATGCGGTCGTTAAGTGAACCCAGCTTCCCCCAAACTGGCTGGGAAGATTGCAAATGACGATCGCCTGATCCCGGGACACGGCAATCAGCGTCAATTCATGATGGCTGCCAGGTGCCCAAATTTTGATCAAATGATTATGGGGATGCTGTGAGGGTTGTAAGTCTGAGGATAACCTTTTTTTACATGCCGTTGTAAATTCCAACAGTTGTTAAACAAATGGGTGTAAGTTTGAGGTGACAAATATCAGGTGACAAATTATTTCTAATACTAGCAGAAGTCTCCACAT